TCAGGTCCTCGTCAGTAACATGTTTAACAGCAGTTTGTGCAGATCAGGGACTTGTCTTCATCACTCTTTCGGTATCATCGACGTAAGATTCCACTTCATGATTATTTATTTTAGTTTTAGACAGTTATATTTATTTCAGTTATGGAATTTTTATTAAGGGTCCTCATCAAGGATTCTCGAGTTGTATTTTGGAGAATAAATTATGTTTGGGATTTTATTAAGTATTCTTAAGAGGTTTAATTATCTTTTGGGTATTAATGGATTTATTCAGATGAGTTATTTATTTATTTATTAGTTTTCCTTCGGCGATATTCTTTTTTTTATTATTTATCTTTTTGTATTATTTGCTCGATTTAAAATATTAATTGTTTGGTATCTCCTGGCTATTGGGCTTGGACTTGATCAACCCACGCCCTGGAAATCAGGGGGTATCACAGACTTATAAGTTGACTATTTTGAATAGTGAAATTATTAATATACCCATTTCAACTAATATGAAATATCTAAACTAACCCCATCTTAAATACCTACCCTCACAACCACCGCCAACACTTCCTCCCATCTTTCCTCTCGTCATTAATCTCTCCCTTTAACCCTATTCTGCAATATATAGATATACACATATATTAACCAAAACACACACATATACATATCTATAAACCATTGAATTCGGATCTTGCAGTGGGGGGCGATTCGAGGGGCGGCAGAGCTCGTAGGTCCCGAGTCGAGCGGAATAGTCCGAGTCGACCAAGTCGGTGAGTGGTAATCGGAGAGTGCCAACTAGATTCTAGTTTGTGTTGAGGCATCCAAAGTAGAGGACTTTGAGGATGATGATGAAGTCCTGGAGAGGAGTGGTGTGATACCTCCGGATTTCCGGATGCGGGTTGGCCAGGTCCACGCCCGATTACCCGAGGATATCAAACCAATTAGCAATAAATGAACACAGAATACAATTAAGGAAACAGGAATAAATAAAAATTTGCTGAAAAGAAACTAGAATGATAAACCAAATACTGAAACCTCAGAATGAAAATAAATTAATAAAGAATTATTCTGATGCATCCAAATTCTCCATTTCTAATGCAACTCGAGAATCCATTTGGTGGACCCCTAATAAAATCATCACTGAGAAATGAACCACCGAAAAAGAATCCAATGCTAAACCATACAGGAACCGCCTACGTCATCGGAAGAATGAGAAGTCGTCTCTGCTCAGCACGAACAAGATCTAAGACCTGGAACCGTCCGTTACCTGAAAAATAATAGTGGGTCAGGCCCACGAACAAGTTCTATCCTAACTACAATCCAAACAGAGACCCGATACGCATATACATCCTAGACGTCTCAAACATATCTATATAGTCCGTAATAGATAAATATATATCCACACTACAAGACTCTCACTAACTATGCTGAGGGTCTCAACCTGAATAGAAGGTAACATGCAATACGCACCTGAGTGGGCATGACTACCTAAGCCTAACAGGGTATACCTCAACCAACATAGCTAGCTACGCATCCTACTGCATATACGCACCCTAACCGTCGACTATGAGACTCAAGCTCAAATCGCGGTACCATAATATATATATATATAAATTCCCATCCAAACCAATGTAGTGCCGCTCAACTGATTCGTTGCCATGACACGACATAAAATTAGGATTTAAATGTTTTAATTAAATCCCTACTCCAATTATATACATAAGTTCCTTCCAAATACAATGTTGTGCCAGTCAATAGTTCATTGGTCAAGACACGACATATAATCAGGATTTAAACGTTTTAGTTAAAACCCTATCCATCCTAACGTAGAAATATAAACAACCATCCAGTATGTCGTTCAACTGTTTTAGTTGACAGGACATGAAACCATGTAAGATTTAACTGTTTTAGTTAATCCATTCCGTATGTATGAATGGGTTGGAATTAGCGTTTTGATCTAATCCATCCCTCCGTATGTCACCGTCCCATACCGGTACATACCATGCATATGATCCGTAAATGATGCAACATTATAAGCAGTACATCAAACAAATCCATATAATCTAAATAGATAATAAATAGAATTTAAACAGTTCATCATCTATAATTCAAATACCATACCTGTAATTGCTAGATACTGATTTACTAGTTCAGCAATTATCGTCCAAGACTATGTAAATTACAGAAAGTGCATAACAATTCAGTAATTTAAATCCCATTAAATCCATACCTAATTAATTGCAGAAAGTGTTTCATATCTCGTCAACACAATAATCCAGACTAAAATCCATGTAATTGCAAACAAGGTTTAAAATTTCAGCAATTACAATCCTCTCCTTAATCAATGAAATTTGCAAAAAGGGTTTATTATTTCAGCAATTAAAATCTAGAATATCTATAAGCCAATTCTAATAAATAATTGACTCTATCATCCATCCAATATAAGATTTATAGTCCTCTTATATTTCATTAAATTGCTAACAGTAAACTAAGCAATCAGTTTCCTTTCATCCGCTAACAGTATAAAAAAAATAGTTTAATATTATACTGTTCGTTCAATTAACTTAGAGGTATAACTTATTTAATTAGAGGTCTTAATCATACCCAAAACTAAATATTATACCCCCCCAGTAAGTCCCGTAACTGTTCAGAAATACATAAAGCATCCAAACAGTACCCAAGAAAAACAAAAATCGTAAAAACCATAAAAATAGGAGAGAGCCTTCTCTCTGAAATTGAGAGCAGGCTCTAAAAGAGCCTGGAGCCGGCTCTTAATCCCCTTAGAGCCGGCTCTTTATAGATGGGAGCCGGCTCTTGGTTTTCCTAGAGCCGGCTATCTCCCCTCTGTGAGCCTCCGTTCCTCTGCAGCTTCGTTTCTGACCTCTGTTTCAACTCCAGCCTCTTCCTACCCCTCTGTTTTTTCTTACAACTAATCTTAGCAGCCTAATATATATCCAGTAGCATCCCAATGGTTTGGTTCGACAGTTGGAATTTATTACAGTGCCTTAAAACCTCTACCGATTCCTTATGCGTTAACATACAACTTGACCTTCGATTTGCAGGCATAACTACAGATAATACTAGAACATATACAGATAATCAAAACTGATCTTAACCATCCTATATATATTCAAAAACATCTCAAACCCTTGTTTATAACAATACGAATTAAAGTAACCATTAAAACAGTACCAAATCTGTAAGCTTAAAATAGACGACAAACACAAGTCAATCGAGAATTGTTTTAGACAACCATACACATACTGATAATCAGTTGGACATATAATTCACATGCCAGATTATGTTAATATTTAATTAAAATACTAGAGACATCTAGGCATACACAGAACACAGGCCAACCGGGTGAGAGGAAGAACAGAACTTGCCTTTGCGGGTTTTTGAATAAAACTCCGTCACCGTCTTCCTAAGTTTTTCCAGCGATCATGACTGCCGTCAAACCTCCTACTGCTCAACCTTCCCTTCCCTTAATCCTCAGTTGAAACCCTTACCAAAAATGCTCTGCTAATATCTCATAACTCACGCTCTGTTCCTTTCCCAATCCCTCTCTCTGTCTCTCTCTATTTTCTCTCTTTCAACTGTACGAGTATAGGGTTCCAAACCCTTGTGAAGACACATAACAGTATATATGTAGATATAGGCACTAAGAAACCCTAAGCCCAATCCTAATCCCCGATGGAAACCCTAATGACATTACAATTTAATTCATTTATAATTTAAACCTAATTAACTCTTTTAAATAAAATAACGCAGGATTTAATCAATTTTAAAATGAATTTAATTCAATTACAACAAAATAAAATACAATTAAATGAAATAGAATAATTAATCAAATATGGCAAATTCTAATACACAATTAACAATTAAATCAAATAGAAACAAAACAATTTAACATATACACAAATAGGCACATAATCAATTAAGCAAATAGACAAAAAATCAATTTAAAATGCACAAAAATAAACTTTAAATTTCAATTTTATCCTCTTGGAAAAATAGGTGTATTACAAGTGGTGAGAAGGTTGACGAACCGTTTGTTTAAAACCGGGCGAGTCTAGTCGGAGTCATTGTGCTTAGTGGATCGAATTTTGGCAGAGACGATTGTGATGCTGAGATCGAGTGGCTTGGGAGGAGGACGAAAGGTTGCCATGGCGGTGTCGGTGATAATTTGGGCCAGAAGTGTGTGAGAAGAAAAAGATGAGGATAGTTCAGTATGACAGGTTTTACCTACTTCGGCTCCTAGTGATGATTTAGGTATGAATCAATTCGGATGCATCAAATTGGGTGGGGAATAAATTCGGATGCATTGAATCAGATCTCATGTTTGGGGGTGAAGGCTGTGGTGGTGTCGGCGTCGCGGCCACTGTTAAAGTTGTGCTAAGACGATCTTGTAGGTATACTGATATATACACGTGTGTGTGTGTATCTTGAAGATTTGGGTGTGTGAAGGTGTTGGTGTTGGGTGTGTGAGGGTTTCTTAGGGTTAGGGTTTTAGAGGCCATGTGTTTTAGTGGTGGTGGTGGTTGGTGTGAACCAACAGCAGTGAACCAACAATTGTGGTGGCAGCGGCGGCAAACCAATAATTGTGGTGGTGACGGTGGTGTCATGACGGTGAATGAGGTTAGAGAAAGATGTGAGGGGTAATGATGAGGTGTAACGGGGTATACTTTTGACAAAAATGTCATTTAAGAGTTTTAATATTTTACAATTTAAATAAAAAAAAATTAAAAGGTAATTTTGACATTTTACATTGCTCAGGGGGCTTTTTGGATCCAATTTTTGCGATTGTTCAAATTGTATATAGGTGGCCTTATGACAAAATTTTGGGGTGTCATTCAACTTTACCCTTTTTTTTTTTTTTTTTCTTTTTCGTTTTCTTTCTTTCTTTTCTTTTCTTTTCTTTTCTTTTTTTTTTTCTTTTTTTTTTTTTCTTTTTTTTTTTTTTTTTACGAGTAATATTTTCCACATAATTTTATAAAAAAATACTTATGAAATAATACCTCCTTCTACAACTGGGACATGCCTGAATAGCGTTCGGTTTCGCGATTGTTCTTCCCATCTCCTTAGCGAGAGTACTTCAAGCCCTAAACTCGAAAAACTATTTGAGATCAAGTTTGGATCCTCTCTCTACATCATCTCAAGATCATCTCAAGATCAAGCTCGAAGATGGATCACTCATGGCGTCACCAACCGCCGACTCAAGGTAACATCTGTCCAACATGCTCAATTTCCCACTTTCCATTTTGTCCTCCACGACCCCCTTTCAATCAAAACCCTAGATTTCCACCACACCACAATCACTCCTTCCAAACGCCATTCTTCGATCCGTTTCCGGATCACAATAGGCAAGCAGTGGATCCCCACCGTCCGTTTCATGGAATTCCCGGTGATGGGTTCGGAGATCCACGGGGTTGGCACAGAAACCCTAGTTTAGAGAGGGACCCATATGGGCAATTCCATGGACAGTCTCAGATTGGAGAGACTGCTATGAACAGGGACGGTTTTTCCCCTCCTAGGTACGGCTCTGGTAGTGTTGGGTATAAGAGGATGAGGGTTGATGAGGCCGGTGTTGGGTCGTTTACCAATGAGAGTCACATGAATCCGTCAAGATTCTCAACGGAAAATGAGCGAAGATTGAAGTTGATTCGCGAACATGGTGGGGCTAGTTCGATGTTGGGAATGAGTACAGGTTTTGATATCGAGACAAAAGGATATATACAAGAACGTTCAGTTTTTGACAATAATTTTAGTAGTATAGATGGTGGGGAGCATATGAAATTTGATGAATTGCGAAGTGGTGGAGATGATACAGCACTAAAACATCCAAGAAATTCTGAGATGAACAGTTTTCGAGATCCGGGTTTTGGTAGTTTTGACAGAAAAGGGATGTCTTTTCACCCCGAACGTGGTTTCAACCAGCATAACTATAGAGAGGAACATGGTTTAGCCTATGCACCGCAATATGTGCGGAGTAATAGGAATGAAGAACCTGGGCAATCTCGTTATAGTCAAGTAGAAAACTCTTTGCATTCATCTTTGCAGTCAAGTGGACACAGTGGTGTCGTGGCTGGAGGGTCAACCAATGTCAAGCAGGGCCGGCAAGGTCAAGATGTGACAGTTCTGTACCATGAAGGAGTTCAGTATAATTCGAATTATGGAGATGATTTTTTATCAAGTGAACATAAGGGTGAGTTCAATCTGCAGTCACACGTGTCTCAGTCTCAGAGTTTGCCTTATCCCACTGTGGAAGTTCCTAATGAGAACTATTACGACCGTGATTTCCGACGAGGTTACCCTCCTGAGGCAATGTCAGCAAAGGAATCCCAGCATTCTCATCCTACTATGTGGCAAGGGTTGTCGGGGTCGGGTGCACCATACCATGAACAGATTGGTAATTTTCCAATGGAGGAGAACCACAATTCTAACAATCAAATGCTGCTTCGGCCAAAACATGATTTTCCATCCCCAGGACAACCGAGTAATAGGAGACCATCACTTGAAGTTAATGTTCCAGCACAGGATGGGAATGGGGGTGCAATTGGACATCAAAGTTTGAGCAAACGAGGTGGTTATGTACCAATTTCCACTGGCAGTAGCATGGTTTTGGAAAATATCATTACAATGCAGGTTTCTCAATTATTTGATGTTCAGCCTCCTCTTCCTGCTTCTCCACCGCCTCCTCTTCCAGTGGATCCTCCGCGTCATTCTTTATCAGAGTCACTTGCCTCAGCTTCCTCGCCCCAAAAATCCTCTTCATTGTTTCCTATTCCTATCAGTTATTCAACTACTGTGCCGTCATCATATCCTCCTGTTCCAGACCAATCTTTTGGACAACCCTATTTTCAAAATAAACCACTTCTGCATGTTTCAACTGGATTTGCTAATGAGGTATGGATGCCATGTCTAACTCTAGTGCTCATTTTAACATTAGGAATCTACATATTGAGAGAGAAATTGAAATATTACAGCATTTTGTCTATATACTGCATTGTTAGAGATGCAATTGCTTGAATGTGAATATCTTATTATTGAGTAAGTATACTTGATACTATAACACATTAGTGATTAGCCTCCATTTTGCTGCTGTGATGAAGAAAAGAACTGAAAGTAAAATATAATAAAAATTTCCCTGATCTTTTGGTTTCCTGGAATGAAATACATAACTTATCAAAAGAAGGGGAAAAACATAGCCTGCTTAGATAATCATGTCAGTTTAAGGTTCTACATTGGATCAGGAGAGATACAGAGTTAAATGCTGTTAGCAAATAGAAAACATATTATTCTATGGACTGAAGTAAAAATGATATGATACATTTATTGACATTTTTTAATTGTCAAAGTAACATTGTAACATAGTGAATAAAAGTTGAGTTCTCTTTTAAACCAGTAAATTTGTACAATGGTCTGTTATAATTCATTCAAAATAAGCTGCCAAAAAGCATAAATTTCTACACATGCATACGCGAAGCGATAAAATTGAATAGAACCCAGAAAGAAGTGTATGTAAATATTTTTAGGAGAAGTTAAAAATGGCAACTGAATTTTCAGTATTGATTTGGAATAGGATTTATTATGTTGAATTTTTTTTTTTTGATAAGTAATTTATTATGTTGAAATTTAATGAAGGAAATTTAACAAGGCAACCGGAATCTCTATTTTATGCTTGATTGCACTCCATCATAGTTAGCAAAATTGCGTATTATATGCGTATAATACCCTTATGTACGTATGATTGAAAAAAAGCTTCCTTTTTATGTACAAGTTTCCAACTTGATGAATCGTATTTTTTAATTAAATCGTATGATACACTTGTTAAACATTTTATGTATTACACGTTATGAAACATGTTTCACTTACATATATATATATAATATAATATAATATAATTTTATAAAGTTTACATTGTCTTTAATCATTTTATTAAAAAATAATAATTTTCAAATAGTTTGCAATTATAGTGTAATATAACAGCAATTAACCTACTATTTTATTTTCTCAATATATTGAAAATTTAATAGTTTAATATGTCATAAGTACTAACTTTTTGATAAAAAAGATAAGATTAGAAAGCGTTCAAATGGGGAATGCAACCCACAAAAACTACACGAGGACCAAATAGGGCCTAAACACTCAATTTTTCCAAAAAATCAACCATCCCCCCAAGAATTTACACTTTCTCCCATGAACCCAACAAAAAAAATAACTAACAGTAGAGAATTTCAGCGCCCCTATAGGAGTCTCATCATCGAAGGATCTCCTATTCTGTCATCGCCTCATCGGCTTGGGAACCCCTCTCAAGGATTGAAGCATAACCCACTGAATCCCAAACAAACCCAAAAGCAAGCCCCTACTGTATATCTAAGTATCATACAATCCTACATATCTAATTTTTTTTTTTTGAAATGCTATGATGGATTAATTCGACTATGTAGTTACACACTTTGTAAAAACTCTATACAAGACAATATCTATCTGGTAATTAAAATAATATCTAAACAAATAAATATGCAACTCTATAAATGTTTTATAATAGTTTTTCTACTTCATCACTCTTCTAATTTCATTTACTATTGTAATATCATTGAAAAAAATAGCAAAATAGTATAAAATAATTGTTGTTGTAATATATATATAAAAAGTTGTTACCTTATTTTTATCACAAATATTTTTATTACCATTTGTATTATACCCATATACATATATACACGCATTTTCTTTTCTTTCTATGCCAAATTCTTAAACGTATTTTGTAAGAAAAAATTGAACTACACTCATACATATCACGTTCACTCTTTCACTCTTTTTTTTTTTTTTTTTTTCTTTTTTATTTTTTTTTACGTTCCGTATTTTACTAATTATGCACCCTATTACTAACTATGCATGAGAATATGGTATTTAGCTCTTGTAGTTAAGGAGCATGTCAAATTTTTTTTATCCTAACGAGAGTTAGATAAGATGGAATCCTGCTAATTTGGAGCTTTATTGGGAGTTGGATCAAACTGTATGATGAGGGATTGAGAATTGTTGGGCTGTACTATTGTTACAGAAAAATAACTACCATGGGATGAGTGGAGCTATCTGTTTTGTATGCTAAATAATGAAAAGAATGTCTTTTTTTTTTTGTTTTGTTTTGTTTAGGATCTATATTTCTTTTGATTAGGTGTTTGAAATTGATTGCGTCAGCGACCCCTTTTTTGCTGTCTCTAAACCAGGGACACCTTCAAACATCCTAGAATTACCATGAAGAACTTCTCATTGAATAAAATTTGATGAAATGAGTTGATGGTAGATTGCTTCACTTCTTGTTTCGGTTTCCAGGATGGGGGCAACATGACTATAATGTTCTTGATTTTAGTGGTCTAACAAATATGTTTTAGTGTGATTTTTTGGAAATCGAAAAAAGATTTTTAAGATGACTATCAAAATGCGTTAAAGAAAGCACAATATTGTCTGTTTTCCTTATAATATCAAGAAATTTGCCCAAAAAGTACTTTTAATCCTGAAACAAGAGTCTACTCCAGATCGGGTGTTCATTAGATGATGATATTAAAGAACCTTGAATACAGGATATGAAAGAGTCTTACACCTGGTCTAGTGTAAATATTGAGCTGATTAGGTGTAGGTATATGTGGTCAGGATCAGATAGCGGCCACACTTGAGCTACAATCACAAGGAAATGATTTTAGAGACTCATTTATGAGCTGTTGGACCACAATGCATTATTTTTTGTTGTATATCTAGACTTACTCTTTTTATTCAATTATTACTTATAAAAAAAAAAGTATATCTAGACTTACTCTACCAAACTCTAATCAACTAAATTCTGTAAAAATCTTTGGTTTCGCAGTCTTGGGGCATGAACGGGAGATTTAAAACTCTATCAAATGTCTCCAAAGACTTTTTATGTCATTCATTGTGTTTAGGAGTAGGTGGAGGTCTAGAGTAGTAATCTATAAGCTACCATAACATCTTAAGTACAGTAGATTGTGTTTTAATCGATAGGCTATTCTGAGGGTATGTTCGAGGTAATCCAAGCTCCGCTACTCATTTTGAGTACTTTTACATGTTTTAATTTGTCTCTTAGCTTGTTGACTAAGGGCTCTTCTAACAGCCCAGCCCACGGGGAAGAACAACAAACAACTCTAACAAAAGCAATCCCCTTGGCAGCCCAGCCTTCCTAAGTCGCTGCAATGGATGGCAGAGGGCCTGTAGTACCTGAAGCACTAGAGTGATCCAGTAACCAGGAAGGGGCCTAGAAGTTTCTACTACTACACCACTCTACACTAGGCTATTTACAGAGCTAATCCTGTCCTGTGCCTGGCAGAGCTAAGGGGGCTTCAGTCTTTACTCCTTATCCCCATCTTTGAAGCGACCCTACTCCAAAATAAGTAGATGCAAGCCTTTCCTGGCAAGCTCCTCCAGTCATCCCCACCTCTGGAAGGAGGCAAGCAATCCATTTTTGCAAGATTCTCCTTAAAGACCTTCCGGAAAAAAAAAAGATTCTCCTTAAAGGCAAGTGCATAGGCTATGGAGCAAATAGACCAAGATCAAGGCAATGGTCAGGGTAGGTGTCTTGCATGACTGTAAGCCCTTTGGCTTTGATGACGGAACTGTTGTCTATCCTACCAAGCTCGGCAAAGAACGCACATTATATTACCCAAGTTGAATGTTGGTTGCCACAGAAGTATAACCAGTTCAAAATGAATGCCCCACTCCCATGTTTGTAGCACAAAAGTTGTGACATTACTTAGTTGGTAACACCCCATTGCGTGTACTCGGGGTAGAAGTTTTGTATAAATATATCCCCATGCTATTAAGTATTTTGATTTATACTTGATAGAAAAGTATAAATTAAAATACTTTTGGGAGCGCTTCCCTTTTGAGCGCTTTTTAATGAATTATAATTATAAATAAAAATAAAAAAGTATTTTGATTTAAGTTCTTCAAAGAAATTTGGGTGTTGGGGAAGTCCAAAAATCAAAAGGTTCATATATGTCATATATAGGATCTCTTTATCATGTTTTCTAATTTTCTTAACTAAGTTTTATGTTTTATCCTACGAGTAATTTTCATCAATTTATTTACCCATAATGTCTCATGCCATGGATTGTCACCCTCTCTCTCTCTCTCTCTCTATTTTTTACATCTATATGGTATGGGTATTTTAATTTATTATAGAGGATTTTTAATGAAGTTCTTCATTATCAACTCTATGTCTCTTTCCCTCCCTCTCTCTCTCTCTCTATATATATATATATATATATATATATATTTTACATCTATATGGTATGGGTATTTTAATTTGTTATAGAGGATTTTTAATGAAGTTCTTCATTATCAACTCTATGTCTCACGTCTTTCTTAATCTGTGTTCCCATTGGTGCTGAACTCTAGTATTATTTTATTTCCTTGCTTGGATATAGGAGAGATTTTACACCAAAATCCTGAAATACCGAGTAGAAACTGCAAATGTTGGCCTCACAGGATGCAATACTTTCTAAAGAAAATTTTGCGTTCTTTTTGCTGTAACATAATTACCGAATCGAGCTTTTGCCCTCTGGTGATGAAGGATAACAGCTAAAATAAAGTAGAAATAGATAACCCAAGTTTCCTTGTGGTCTAGCTCTATGTGGCACTTAAAACAAATTTTTGGGATAACCAAAATTACGTGTTGGTAGGTTCTTGTGATTTAGATTATCAATGCAATAAACTCAATATATTTCTAAAAAATTATCATTATTTTTTTATAGGATCCTCAAGCTACCCACAGGACATCATCTAATAAATATTTGGTTGAAGACCAACCCTTTAGAGTGATGTCTTCAGATAATCCAGAAGTTGTCGATGCTTCTCATATATTTATGCAACCACATCGGGTTGAGCGGCCTGATCACTTTGTGATAATCCTTCGTGGGCTTCCAGGTAGCTTATTTTACTTTGACAATTTTTTTTTTTTTCGTAATTTTCTTCAAATGAGTGCTAATAGTTTTAAAGTATTGCACATTGCTGATACTAACTTGACATGGGATGAATCCAGATATCTAACGTATTGAACATTGTTGTTACTGACTTCACATGGGATGAATCTAAATATTATTTTATGTATTATTCTATTCCCTTTTGTTGGTTCAGGGTATTCTTTTTGATAAGTGGTTCAGGATATTCTTAATGCGTTAGTGTCTCTTTGTTGATTCATCTTGTATTTCTACTTGCAAGTGGGTATACATTTTGTGGGTTCATGGATCAAGAATTGGTTTTGGAGTTTGTGTGAATGGGGACTACTTGTTTTACTCATCAAAAGAAGAGAGAAAAAAAAAATCATTTTGGAGTAACATTTGTTTGGTTTGGAATCTAAACATTTCGGACACCACAGAAAAATCAGTGTGTTGGAAGGAATTTTGGAACACATTAAGGTAGTGTTTTGGGGGAGCTTTGTAATATCAAAAGTCCTTTGTTGATAAGGCCTTCATACAAATAATTTTGTTTGAAGGAATTCATGAAAAAGAGATGTTTGGTGAATGTATTTCTTAAATGTCCTTTTAACGTTTAAATTATTTTTTTCCTGACAATATTCTCCCTAATATCAATCAAGTCCTAACTGCAGCGTTTTGACAAAATTTTGATGCAATCTTCCCAAATTTCTAAACGTGTTTCTCAACTCAATCCTAGTAATCTAATAAAAACCATCAGCTCAATCCCCAAAAGGTGAGGTAAGCCCAACCAGTGTTATCAAAGGCCCAAGGCGCCAGAGGTCCTTTGGAGCCTAGGCGCAAGGTGCAAGGTGTGGCAGTGCCTGAGTGAAGCGTGGTGCACAATTGAAAAATTAAATTACTATTAAAGCATTTTCGTATTCCATATTAAAGGAGCAAATATTGTCAAAGGCGCACCTAGGCACATGCCTAAGTGCACCTTTAACAACACTGAGCCCAACATTGTATTTTATTTTATTTGTTTACTTTTTTATGATTTAAACCCAAAATCTATTATCACCCCAAGAAACTAAAGTCCCTGGTCACTGTCAAAACACCCCCAGAATCTTCCTTCTCTCATCCACGCTGCGTTCACACTTGTCCACTTGCTTCCTTATACGACATATACTACAGGCCACAACTATACACACACATATATGTATAAATTCCTCATTGTCATCTCATTCAAGTTCACGCTCTTTGAAGTGGTGTCTCGGGCCTCGTCACACTCAAAGCCGTCAGTGTACATGATTTAATTGGAACTAGGCAAGAATTTGCCAAGAAAATTTGGGTACAAGTTTTCCGTCATTGTTTCGGCCATCGCCCCAGTGTTAGTGTTGGTCTGGCACATGATTTGGGTGAAAGAGGGATGCAAGAAACTCTCATCAGTTTTTCTCGTTGCCGGCCGAAAGAATCAAACCTCTCATAATCTGATATTTTGAAATAATAGGACAATCTTGTCAATCTATGAATAGTTCATGGACAAATTAGTAAAAGGGTTAAGTGCATTCCCCCTTGAACTATCATAAAGACACTTAACCCCCTGAACTTTTCAATTTGTTGCAAAATGTTAGATGGCAGTGTGAAATTTAACAGCAAAGAAAGGCACTGTGTCACGTGACTAGATAAAAATTCAGAAAGACAAAAATAACCTTATTGTTATTCAATGAATATTTATATATATATATATATATATATATATACACACACGTGCGCGTCCCTCCTCTCTCTCTCTCAAACCACCTGCACTTCCCATGGCCAATATCACCTCCATTGTCCGTCCATAGCTGCCATCGCCACTGCCGCCACTGCTGCTCTCTCCCCCACAAAGTTTCTTCCTCCCTCACAATCACTTCCACCGTCCACGACCGCCACCACCTGTCTCTCTCTCCAATCCACCTCCCTTTTTTTTTCTCTCTTTGACGACAAGAATGACGAAAAGGTGGGAAAACATTCAACAAAAAATTGTTTTGTTGCAAATGTCAATGTTTGTTGGGGAATTGATTGAAAGAATAACATGTATTTTTTGGGCAGTTACGATTGGTTTGGTTTGGTGATCGGCGATAATAGATTTTTGGGGCTTTTGCGACTGAATTTGTAGCTTTTATGATTGGGTCTTGAGGCTAGAAGAGGATTGGAGATTGAGTGGTTTTCTGGTGAAGGTTGAAAAGAGGGATTGTGCGGTACAGTGTGTGTGTGTGTGTATATATCTCGGTTGAAAATGACGGCAATGGTTGTCGAGACGATGAATTGAGGCAGCTCCGAAGTGGAAGGAGAAACCTAAGGAAGATCGGTTGGCTGAAGATGAGAAATCGCCAAAGCGATTTGTATGACAGTCGAAGTCGTTGTTGAGATCGACTCAGCCGCTGAAAGTGAAGTCGAGGAAGCAAGAGAAAAAGACGCTGAAGATCTTCACGATCAATCACGTGAATTTGTACGGGAAGAAACCGGCTGATGCGTGGACTTTGATCAATCTCGACCAGCCGGCGAAATTTGACACGCTGGCAATGGAGCCGGAGATGAAGAAGATTGATACGACGTCGTTACTTAATGGGCAAAATAGTAATTTTATTTGTTAGTTAACGGTTATTTGACGCTGTGGGGCTAAGTGCAACACTTGTATAGTTTAGGAGGTATTTTTTAATTCAGAGGGGTTTCTTGCAATTGGCTCATAGTTGAGGGGGGTTTAGTGCACTTAACCCTTGGTAAAACAACAAATTTACTTAAAAAGAAAATTTGTCTTCCTCAAAGGAGGTTCTAAAATTTGTTTAAGCAGACTTATGCGAAGAGCAGAGGATCTTGATCTTACCAAGGGCTTTATGGTGGGAAGAGATCCTGTTCATCAGATGGAGGTCTCTCATTTACTTTTTGCAGACGACACCTTGGTTTTTTGTGATGCTAATGTGTCTTAGCTTAGATATTTGAGGTGCATTTTGGCCTGCTTTCAGGCTGTCTCGGGTTTGAAAGTTAATGTGGCTAAAAGTGTGCTTGTGCCAGTTGGAGATGTTCAGGATATTTCTTCTTTAGCGGAAGTCCTTGGGTGTAGGGTGAGTTCTTTTCCAATTCAGTATTTGGGCTTGCCTTTAGGGGTTTCCACTAGAACAGTGGGGTGTTGGGACCCTGTGATTGATAGGTATGCCAAGAGATTAGCGGGATGGAAAAAGCAATACTTGTCTAAGGGAGGGAAAGTTACGCTTATAAAGAGTACTTTATCGAGCCTTCCTACTTATTTTTTATCTATGTTCCAAATTCCATGCTCTGTTGCTGGTAGGATCGAAAAAATTCAAAGGGATTTCCTTTGGGGTGGAAGAGGTGATGAATTTAAGTATCACCTTGTCAATTGGGAACAAGTTTGTAAGCCAATGAAGTTTGGTGGTCTTGGTATCAGAAGACTGGTCCCTTTTAACCAAGCTCTGCCGGATAAATGGCTGTGGAGGTATGGAAGGGAAAGGCATCGCCTGTGGCGACGGCTAGTTTCATGTCGATATGGGGAAGAGAGTGGTGGTTGGTCTACTCGTCCGGTTTTTCTAGTGGGAGGAGTTGGGGCGTGGAAATTCATAAGGAAGGGATGGGATGCTTTTTCTACTCATATCAGATTCAAAGTTCGTGATGGCAGATGTGTACGCTTTTGGGAGGATCTTTGGTGTGGAGACCAGCCTTTATCTCTTTTATTTCCTAGGTTATACAGTATTGCAGTTGATAGACTTGCCTGCGTAGCCAACTGTTATCAACTTGATAGTAGAGGGATTATGTGGGACGTGCAATTTCGACGCTCTTTTCAGGATTGGGAGGTGGATGAGGTATGTGTTTTCATGGATTTGTTGTATCGACAGGAGGTAGTTGGCAGAGGTAGTGATGTCATGACATGGATTCCCTCTTCCCATGGTCGCTTTGAAGTTCGTTCCTTATTCTTATGTCTTTTTGATTTTGATATTGTTGATTATCCATGGAAGACTGTTTGGCGTTCTATGGCTTCAACTAGAGTGGCACTTTTTTTGGACCGCTGTTTGGGGTAAGATCATTACGATTGATAATCTAAGGAAAAGGGGCAATTCTCTTGTTAATTGGTGTTGTTTGTGCGAACAGGATGGTGAGTCAGTTGCTCACATTCTAATACATTGTCCTATAGCGACGGATTGTTGGAATCTTATCTTTTGTCTGTTTCATATGCATTGTGTTATGCCTCGTTATCCTAAGGATTTGATTTGTATATGGAGAGGATGTCGTGTGAGTAGCACAGTTCGCGATTATTTGAGAGTTGTACCACATTGTGTTTGGTGGTGCATTTGGAAGGAGAGGAATAGTAGAATGTTCGAAGGGAAAGAATTGTCCATGGCGAGTCTGAAACTTCACATCATACGCTCTCTTTTCAGTTATGTGAAGAGGAAGTCCTGTTCTTCTTCCGAAGATTTAATTATTTTTTTGGCTTCTTTGGGATCTTAATCCCTAGTTCCTCTTTTGTATAAGGGATGCATTTCCCCTCTTGAACGCCTTTTTTATTTCAATTATTACTTATCAAAAAAAAAAAAAGAAGGTTCTAAAAGCAACATTTTTTTTTATTTTTTTGAAATGGACTTCCTAATCACCGGCTTCCAGAAAAAAGCCTTTATATATATGTAATCAAACATACACTTATTGTTTAAAAAGAATTTTGAAGCGTGGAAGGACTTTTTGAGGCCTAGGAAGCTCCCCCAAACAGCGCCTAAATTTCTTGAGAACTTTTTTTTCCTGTAAAATTGATGATCGATGAATTAGGGCACATTGGAGTCGACCAAAACAATCTGTGGTCAAAAAAAAATCTGGAGTTTTTAAGTGTAGAAGATTATGATGCCCACTGGAAGTTTGGGAGTTGTCAAATTTCTTATCCAAGGAAAAAATGTTTTAAGTGATGATTCTAAATGTTCGAAAAAACAACAGGAACATATATTATTTGGGAATTTGGACCTGTTTAAATTTAATTGCGGCAATTGCCTAGCCTAATATGGTTGCCTAGTTGCCTAAACGTAAAAACAACCAGATCCATACTAAAAAAAGGAAGAAAAAACCAAATCCATAGGGGCAGACATAGGGTAAACTTAGCATAAGTTTGATAATTTTCTTCAGTTTTCATGATTTTTCACATTTCATTGAGACTTTCTTCTCATTTCATAGTACTTTTCAAGTGCTGTTGACTTGATAGTTGGTATATACCAATATCTACTGTTATCAGCAATTCTTACTGGCGTTGGCCATCATCGGTGGTTGATCTACTTTTAGTTCCTAAGCTATTGTCATGCTGGGCTCCTGGATAAAGTTTAATTTCAATTTGTATAAAGAGGATTCAAACTCAATGGGGACTACGCATAGTTTTGCATATTTTTCGATGGGGTGAGGACAACCTATCAAGATTTTGTGCACATTAGTTCTGAATAAATCTCTTGGAAATTAGCTGTTGGAAACTTAAGATTCTACCATATGTTGGATTAGTAGATATTATATAATGAAACTTATCGGAAAAAAGAAAAAAAAAAAATTTCTATATAAATAGAAATGCTAGGTAAAGCTTAACACAAAGTTCTATGGACATAGAAAGCAAATAGTTTTTTGAGACAGATGAACATTGGGATGCATTTTCCTTTTTGATCCCCTCACCTCCTTTTCTCTTCTATAGTTATTTGTAAATTCGTTCTGGAAATAGGAAAATGCTATCACAAGCCACTAGCTCTCTTTATTATCTATCGAATTGGAATTGATTTAACATTATTATTTTTATTTAAATTCTAATCTAATGATCAATAGGGAGAATTAATGACTGTTGTCATAAGAGAGACCTTATCATAGCCAACTCTGGTAAATATTGTAAAATGTAAATGTAGAAATATATACCACATGGATTATAATTTGGCCTACCAAATAAAAAAAAAAAGAACTTTGAAGTTTTCAATTCTTAGATAAGCGAGTTTATGACATGCTGATCACATCTTCAATAATTTTTTTGCATTTCTTGTACTGTTATACTTGTAGGAAGTGGAAAAAGCTACTTGGCGAAGATGTTGCGTGACCTTGAGGTTGAAAATGGTGGTGATGCCCCTCGTATTCATTCCATGGATGATTACTTCATGACTGAAGTAGAAAAGGTTTGTCTGCAGGCTCGTAGGTCTTTAACACAGAAATGTTGCTGGCTTCTCTAGATCTTCTCCATTCTCATTGTTTTGCTTTCCTTTCGGTTACTTTCTGTGTCTTCTACCTCTGTTAGTTTCTGGCAATAATATCTGAATTAAGTATTTCTTTCTGCTCCATAGGTTGAGGGTATTGACGCTTCCAGGTCCTCTGGTTCTGTCAGAGGGAAGAAACCAGTTACGAAAAAGGTCATGGAATACTGTTATGAACCTGAGATGGAGGAGGTAACCCAAGTTGTCTTCTAGAACCAAAAAAACCTAATAATTTATATATTTGCATGGTGTTTGCTTATTCCATGATATCAAAGGTAGATTTATTTGAGAGCTTGGTTGATATATTAGTCTGTTGCATAGGAACAATGTAATTTCTATAAATTTTTTTAGTTGTAGAATCCTAGAAGCCTTCCATTGAAGTAGGCGGATGGCCAATCTGAACTACCCTGTGCCAGTATTGTGCTGACTTCATTATCATGGACACAAGGATCCATTGTGGATTTCCATTCTGATCTCAATTCGGTTTGCTTCTCCAGATATGGTAAGAGGGGCTGAACTGTAATGACATGAATCTTATTGATTCTATTACTGGTGGATCGACCATGGGTTTTAGGTTGATCTGAGCCAATAATAATGATTCAACTGAAGATTTAAATATTAGATAGAAATGATTAAAATAGTAAGATTTAACAATCAATTTTTTAATTTAAATTTTGATTATATCAATTTGGATTCATGCCGGGTAGGTTAACGATGGAGGTTATCTACTTATTGAGGAGACTAATGGAAACTTAAAGAGTGAAGAAGGGAGATATCTGTATGTTTTTTTTTTTGATTTGGAGAAAGCCTATGACAGAGTACCTAGAGACCTAATACATAGGGTCTAAACAAAGAGAGGAGTCACAAAGGGATACATTGACACAATAAAGGACATGTATGATGGTTGTGTGACTATAGTTAGAATGCCTGTAGGGAAAGCAAGTGAATTCCCAATTACTGTAGGCTTACACCAAGGGTCGGCATTAAGTTTACACAATAAAGGACATGTATCTATGAAAATCTTCCCCTGCAAAGATCTATCTGCAGATGAGATCCTGTGTTGTGTGTTATTTGCCAATGATATTGTTTTAGTTGATGAGATTAAAGGAGTTAATGCCAAATTGGAGGGTTGGAAAGAACCTTTATAACTAAAATGTTTTAAGATGAATCGAAATAAAACTGAATATATGGAGTGTAACTTTAGTAAATCTATAAAGACAAATGTGGATGTAGTTCAGATTGAGAATCAAGAGGTACACAAAAAGTGAACATTTTCGTTATTTAGGCTCAATTATTCATAATGAGGGAGAAATTGGAGATGGTGTTAATCATAGAATCAAGGCAGGACGGGTTAAATGGAAGAGTGCATCTAGTATATTGTGTGATAGGCGTATCCCCTTATGATTGAAAGGGGGTTCTATCGAACAGTTATAAGACCAGCCATACTTTTTGGTACCGAATGTTGGGCAGCTAGGAAACATCATTTGTAGAAAGTGAGTGGCAGAAATGTGAATGTTGAGATGAATGTGCGACTAGAAAGGACAATCAGAAATGATCAAATTCGAGAGATGGTTGGAGTAGCACCAATTGTAGATAAAATGATACAAATCGATTAAGATGGTTTGGACATGCAAAGAAGTCCTTTAAGTGCGGCGGTTAGGAAAAATGACATAGTCCACATTGAGAGTAATAGTAAGGGAAGAGAAAGACCGAAGTTAACTTAGGTAGTAGAGTTAGTAAAGAAAGATATAATAGCATGTGGATTTAATGAGACTATAGCCTTAAATAGAGCAAAATGGAAACCGACCCCAAGTAATTGGTAAAAGGCTTGGTTGTTGTTGTAGTAGTAGTTTTTAGTTAACATGGTTAGTTTTATATTTATTTATTGTACAGAATGTTCTTTCTAATATATTTTTTTTTTTCCTTTACTACTAGTTTTTGGATTGGATGTGGTTATTGAATTGGGGATATATGTATTCGTTATTAGGATTGCGAATTGTATTTGTGCTTGTATCATAGGATTTGTGGGATCAAGACCCATTAATTACCTGATGCAAGACGAAAGGGCTCTTATATAAAGAGAATATATGTAGATGAATGGAGAGGGGAAAAGGGTTAGAAGAGAGAGAGCGTATGTGAATAGAAAGGTTTCAAACAGCAAGAATAGGGGTGAGAAAAGATCCGATGGTATTGGTGGAAATTTTCAAACTAGATATGTAAGTGGGAGCTATAATGTTAACTCAATTGTTAACGCCTTTGACATGGCTATCCTGAAATTGATGTGTCTCAAAATCTGCTCACATTGATATAATGGGAGTAATTTAAGTTGGGGTTGGTTGGAAACCTAAAAATACAGTAGTCACACCTCATAGTTACAAAACCGAATGTTTGAAAATTTTTCCTGAATCAAAGATGGGGTTCATCTAGCCAATCGAAGTGGTTGGGGTTTAGGATTTTCTGAATTGAGCTAGTTGGTCTGAGTTTGGGTTGAAAGGGTCCGGCCCATGGTTGTTAAAATCACGATTTCGGATTGTAGAATTGCACGATTCTATGACCCCAACCCCCAAAATCGATCCAAATCGCAATAAAGTCGTTTCCTTGACAAAATCGTATGTAGAATCAGTGGAATTGTACATAGAATCGTAGAATTGCACGATTCTATGCGATTCCCCTGATTCGACTTGATTTCTTGTTTGAGACCCTTTTTTTGTTGGCTGGTTCCTTCTTTTGATGGTTGGGATACAAAATAAGAAAGCATCTTGCAAAGGGACACGATTGGAGGCTCACCTGGCTATGAAGGAATGGGAAAATGGCTTCGCTGCATCTCGGCCGCCACCTAAACCGCCGGACTAAGTGATGATGATATATAGGAAGCATCTTCCTTTTCTTTTTTCTGGTTGCCGACAAGCATGTGGTAGTGTGCCTAGTCAAAGTCACTCTTAAAGATTTATCTCGCACAGTTAAGTGTGCTTTTGTTTATTTTGTTTGTTGGGGCATCATTATCCTCCTCTAGAACTGATTTGTATTTTTTTTTGGGCCTTTGGAAAGTTTACTTCAGCCCAAGCTGTAGCTTATGTACATTTATCCACGTCCAGAATATTTCCGGGAAAAAAGCCACTGATTTGTATTTTTTTGGGGCCTTTGGGCCAGTTTGCTTCAGCCGAAACTGTAGCTTATATACGTATATTTCTTTATTATTTATAAAAGTTGTATAAACTTCCACCAAAAAAAAAAATGCCCATCACACTTTGGTTGTAATTATTTTTCCATTCTGATTTTTATTTTATATTAGATTCAGACTTTAGAATAATATTTTTATACTCCTTTTTATTTTTTAATTTTTTGTATTTTGGCCTTATTATTGCTATATTTTACACATATTATTGTTTAAGAAACTAGTTTTAATTACTTTTTTACATGTTGATAGAATCTTATGATTTACGATCCGATTCTACAATTCCGATTTTACGAAGTTCAAAACGATTTTACGTAGAATCCCGATTTTAACAACCTTGGTCCAGCCACAAGCACAGAAAGAGACTTTGTGGTCTGATTTGAATATGTACACAAACACAACACCCCTTGGAACAAGGATATATATATATTTTTTTGATAAAAAAACAAGGATATATAAATACGAATTTAAATTCAAATATATATTTTTTTGAATGGTAAAGCAAACACACACACACATTTTTGCCCACGCCGGGGCTCGAACCCCTCCCCTCTTCTTTGAAGATGGGGAAGTTATACCATTGGGCCAAAGGCCCTTTGGTATTTAAATTCAAATTTTAGTGGCTTTCTTTAGAAAAATGGGGATCTTTTACCAAAATTTGCAGGAAAATGTTTCCTCAGCATTACGAAGATACATGGTGTCATATACTTCCTCTAAGGGAAAAGAGAAATGTTTAAGCTAATACTAGATAGACTTGTGGTAGGTTTATATAAGGAATTAACGTGAGAAACATAACTCTGTGCTAATAGGAATGATTTTAAAAGAAACAGTGTGTCTAGAAGTGGAAGGACGATTTCAAAAATTAGAAAATAGTGGAAGACATACTACAAATGGAAAATAGCATTCATTCAAATTTTCTGCCTTATTTCTATATTCAGTGTTTTGAAAACATATGTTATATGGAGACTCCTCTTTCCCTTCAACTACACGCGTTGACATGACACGACACAACATGGGTATGGTTATAAGATGTGTTCTGACACACAAACCCAAACTGGACAGCCCAATCCTTCTCATGGCATGATTGAAGAAAAACGTTCAAATTTAATAGCAACCGTGAGTTTTGTATTAATGAGATAAATAGAAATTCTTTTCTTTTACGACATCTCATTTAATTTGAGTTATAATTGAGTATATTCTTATAAAATAACAACATTAAACATTAATTAACTGTAGAAAAACATATAATGTAATTAAATGTGCAATACATATCTACGTACGCATATCCAACTTTTAGACACATGTCCCCTTATGCTAAGATTTGGATATGAGGAAGTCTGATATATATACACCCCTGCACCAGATACACTTGTCTTAGTTTGAGTTACATCGGTTAAAACATTCTTTCGAACATAATAATTTTGATATTGATTGAGAGAGCTTTAAGGTTTGAGCTTGATTTCAGCATATGATGACGGCGTTTGCTTGGCTATGTTTCCTTTACTGGAATTTTATTTATTTTAAACTTGACCTTTCATAAAAAGCCGGAAGTTTTCCCTTTGCTCCCTGGAATTCAAACATCCATCCGTGCAGTTCATGCTCATGTTCTTGATCTGAAGAATTTTCAGTGAGTGTTGCCATTCTTGATCATGGGTTGCACTTTTACATTCTATCTCCATGAAAATAAATGGATGCCTTGCGTACCTGATGAGATATCTAAATGTACACTGTTCGATGATTTTTGTGGAGGTAGTTTTAGTTCTGCTTTTTAATTCTAAAAAGTCTGTTAGATGACCTATTTAACTGCTTATTTCCTATCAAATTTTGACATGTTTTTCAGTCTTGGATTCCTATATTGATTCATGGTTTTTTTTAATTTTTTTATATTTTATATATATATATTTATCAATCCGTCAGATTTTGGCATGGTTGTCAGTCAGATTCCCATTAAATACTTGCATCCATTTCATTTGTGGTTTCTCTATGTTGTTTCCAACTCTGGTATTGTTTGTAAAACAGGCTTATCGGTCAAGCATGTTGAAAGCTTTTAAAAAGACCCTTGAGGAGGGGGTTTTCTCCTTCATAATTGGTATGAATTTTCTGTGTGAAAGTGCCAGATTTATTCAAAATTGAAAGCTTTACATTCCTGCATAAATGTTGTCATTTTATTTATTTTTTATGTTACGGTCATTTGAAGGTTGATGCATTGTTCATATGTTAATTCCTCCTGAGATGGCATCACTTGCATATTTTGTTGAAAATTTTTATACTCAATCGAGGGCAGTTTTCTTTTGCTTAAATGACTTTTGACGCTTCTGTATGTGATTGCTAAATTCTGCCACTAGTGGTAGCTCCAACTAGGCGAGGTTTGTATCTGAATGGGCTTATGCATATATTCATGCTTGGATTTTTGTTTAGTTTAGGAAACTGATACTATTTGTACAAAAGTATTGAGCCTTAGGTATAAAAATGTAGTAATATTAAGAAAGGTTCTCCCAATAAAAATCTAGTCTCATTATAGATTAAGTGGTGATGCAGTGCGTGTGCACTGCCTTCATTTTAACTAACTACAGATGCAGTTTTGTTCGGCAATTGACCCATTTGTTGCTGGTATGTGTGCTTCGTCTTAGTGGATGACCGCAATCTGCGGGTAGCTGATTTTGCTCAGTTTTGGGCAACTGCGAAGGTATAACCTCAATTCTTTCATTCTCACCGCCTCTTCGAGTATTTCTGTTCACATTTTCTTTTTCTGGGGATTTTTAAAGGTCTGCAATTTCTTTTCTTTGTGTGTAGATTCCCTTTAAGCTGGACACTTACAATGTTATCTGCTGCGTTTGCTTATTTTAGAAGTGTTATTGCTATATTTTGCATTTTTGACTATCCAAGATATGATTCTAGTTTATTGTCAGTGTGTTTAATGCATTAAACCTATTTTACATTAATGTGAAATACTTGAATGAGATAGTTAAGCAGAAAGAAGAGAAGGATCACCATGCGTAGCCCCATTAGAATCGGGATATTTCCATTAGTGTCCATTTCTTTTGACAAATAGATCTGTCTTGTTTTCTTAGTTTAAGATTCTCTGTTGTGAAATATTCTCAAAGCTGTTAGAGGCTTCATGGGCAGCTTAATTACTTGATTCTTCGGAACAAATGGTCATAATCATTGTTTGAATTTGTCAGATGTCACCTTTTCCACGTCTAACGTGGTGTCATACCAATTTCATGATTGATCAAAATGGTCACTATAGCATTTTTAAAAGCTCAAAGATGCCTTATTTATTGATTTTAACAGATCCAATATCAATATTAAGGGCATGTGGAATGCCTCTCGTATCTCTTTATGAACCCTTTGTGAAGTGGCAATTCGTGTTGGCGGGTTATACTAGTATGTCGTCCTAATAGTAGTCTGTTCGTCCAATCCATTCATTAACCTATTTTTAAATATAAAATGCAAATATAGTGGGAAAAAAAATGATATAATAGATGACTATTCATGAAAATGAGGACAACTAGGGCAAATACAATTGACAATAAAAGACAATACAATATCAAAACTGGGTTTATATTGATATAACAAAATCTCCTGTAGTAATTGGGTTAAAACATGTTACAAGTTAATCTGGTGAACTGACACAAAACGGGTGTAATTGGATTAATCTGGTTAATTGACATGATTATGTCACAACTGATTAAACGGGTTGTGTCTGGAAACAAGAACATGACAAGATTAATTAAATGGGTTGACACGATTATGATACTTACAAAATCAAGGTCAATCCTACCCCCAACTTCATGTTGTGTTCTAGTCGAGTTGGCAGGTCATATCGATTTTTGCCACCCCTATATGTGACTGAGATGTTCATCTTTAAACCCAAGTACCTGTAATATGTCATTAGATTCCCAAGAACTTTGATAAATGTGCATATTTGCTTTGGTTCCACCAGCTTGTAGCTTGAGTGGTATTTGCTGCCACATCCACGAAGGGGGATTTGCAGGATTCAGTATCTGGTTGAACCATGAATGTGTATTACTTATTAAAAGAAAAAGAAAAACGGAAAGGAAAGTATGGTTGCTTATGGTCTACTTTGAAATTAATGCAGGCAATGTGAGGGATCCAATCCTTGCCATTACCTGTCTACTGGTGACCCATCGCCATACTTGTAGGGGCTGGTCAGGATGGGCATTTGAAACTTAGGCCTATGCCATCCTTGCTTTTAAAGCTTTTACTTTTTCGATAAATACACTGAAGAGTGCCTAAGCGTCTGCAACCGTGTACATAGGGCACAGACAATACCTATCACAAAAGAATCTATATTCTCTATATAATACAAAATATTGTAAAGGGAAGGATTGACCTTGCCTTTAGCCAAACTAAATTGCTTTTGCGAAAAGAGGCTCTTTAATTATGATTAACGAATAGATCCTCCACTCCCACACAGACCGCTGATCTCCAGTTTCTCACTTCTGTTTTCTCGTTTTTCAGGTTTGATGACTAAAATTTTCACCTTGATCCATGAACTTCGATTTGTATAAGAAACTATAGGCCCCTTTATCTAAAAACCCCACTCTCTCTTTTTTCTCAAGAAGTAACAAACGAAGTATAAGGAGGCTTGGTCTATTTTTTTTTTGGATAAGTAAGAAGGTTTGGTCTATTTATTCAATTGAGTGCACTATTGTGCATTAAGTGTTGTTTTGTTTGGTTGAAGTGGTATAATTTTACTCAGAATTTGATTAATATTCCTATAGTTTGCTCGAGGAGAGCATGAAAAAATTAGAAAGAGAAAAAGAAGAAGTGAAACGTAACATACTCTAGATTTTATAGTTATCTTACTATTATATTTGTTCTCCATGCTTTAATGTAGTGTTTTTTGGAAAGAAGGCGGGAAGGGGAAAGCCTAGCTTCATTTCTTCCCTCACCATTATATTCTCTTCTCCTATTGAATATCACTCTTTTCTCCTATTTCTTCTAAATGACTATTGTTTACTCTTTTACCCTACTTTCTTCAGTTTGTCTTGGGTTTTTTCACCCTCTTGTGCACCTAATCTTCATATAAACTGTCTGAAGAATTTTGTTTTGCTTTAGTTACTGTCCTCTTAACTTTGTTTTTTTAGTTTATTGTATTTCTCTAGTTCCATGATGTTTAACATCCCTGTATCAAAAATTGATAGTAACTGTAACATTATTAAATTGTCAAGGCTGCTTTTGTTAGAAAGCTGTTGCTCCTTTCTTCTAGTGGAAACTGATATGGAGTGAACACACACTTAATAAATAGTCAATGTGAGGCCAAAACAAGTGATTTTTCATGTTATGGGCTTTTCAACCTCATCATCATCACCACCACCACCATTACCACCACCACCACAATATTATTAGTCATTCTGTTGCATGATCACATTTGTGTAGATGATGAGTGTTGGCAGCAATATGCTACATGGAGTCATGGATATGCTAAAATGATTTTGTAATCACATTGCTTTGCCGTCTGACATCTGGGGAATTTGTTTGGATTTATGATGTGCAAAAGAATTCACGTGAAAGATTTATATTGGCTATATGAAAATTTCAACTCTTTTTTTTTTTTTTTGGGTGAATGAAAATTTCAACTTTTCTGTTCACATCTTTTAACAATAAGTCTGATTAGATGAATAATTTTTGTAGTTTTCTTCTAAAACTTAATAACGTTCCTAGTTTAGTTGAGCTGATTATGGTTGTATGTATCAGGTTATAAAAAATGAAGATTTGTTAATCCAATCTTTTTCTTGTTTCTTTTCTCATGAATTCAAATAAGCTTGAATTTTCATATCTCGTGGCATAATTCAATATGACCTGGGAAGGTTTAGTTTACACCTAATGTAATGTGATTCAAAGGCCATATTGTAATGTTTTCATATGGTTTATTGTCTTATGTTATTTATCGGCTGTCTGAATTAAAAAAAAAAATTCACCATGTGTAGAGCTGATAATAAAAGAGGATGCCTGAATAGCGTCCCCTGACAATGATTATGGTGGCTTTCTTTTTTTTTAAGGAGTTACGTAACATGTATATATAATTTGTTGAAAACTAATTTCTCAAATTAAGTGAATTTAAAATTTCAAAAAGTATTAAAAAAAGAAAGTCACTACTTGAACCGTGCTTGCATTATACAGTTTTTTGGTGGATTGTAATTCTAAAAATCATAGACTTTATGTGATTAGATGAAACAGTGTGCAATATAATTAGCCTTTTAGAAGTTTGTTCCCCCCCCCCCAAAAAAAAAGGCCTGCGGTTTTGCCAGGTGGCAGATGATATTCTTTGTTTTTATCATTAAGAATAACTTTTGTTTTCTTGGCCTCTCTGAAGGTCTAAGGCGCCCTTTGGCCCTTTTGTTTCTTTGGGCTTCGCTCCCCTTTTGAGCGTTTTTAATAAAATCTTACTTATCAAAAAAAAAAAAGAATAACTTTTGGGCCCTATTTAGTTGCAACCAGTACCACATTCAGAATATTTAAAGTTTTGATATTGGGAGTGACATTTGCAATATTTAAGAATTCATTTATAATCTTAATTTGAAATTTGGCAATGTTATATTGTTTTGTCTACTTAGAAAGTACACATACCAACACCATTGGCATTTTTTAGCATTACTTTATATGTGATCATGGTTACAAAGAATTGCTGAGATGTTAGGTTTGAAATCTCATACAAAATGCATACATGATGGTTTGACTATGTTGTGTCAATCTTCAAAATAACTATATATTTTTTAAATTTCATGAAAGAAGTCTTGATTTTCTCTGGTAAAAGGGTTTCTTGGACTTTGATTCATACTTCTAGCCATTCCATTTATTTGTTATTTGAATTTTATAATGGTTAGGGGAAAAATTTAGGGGTGGTGGGGTGGGGTCTTGGACAGTTTGATCTGCCCATTTTGCATCTGATTATTGATCCCTTCGATTTGTTTGGAAGCAAGTTGCAGTTCACCAGTATTAGATAATCACCTTCTTTTGGGGGCTACATACCAAATGAATTTTTGAAATTGTTTCTTTAATCTTAGGTGAGAAAAATTATGGAGGTATTGGTCATTGATATGGCGGACTTGTACTGACCTTGGTATAGATGCCCCATTATTTCGGTGATTATCATATTGGTTTGAATTCTGAATTTTTGCTAACAATAAATCTTCTATTTGTGTTGTCTTCATGATAGTTTATTTATTGTAGGAAAACTTCTCAAAGTAGTTTACCAAATTCTTGACTGAATTTTGTATTTAAGATATTTTGAAATTTTTATTAACATTATAAAAAATGGATCAGTTTCCGAATTTGCTTACGGAAGTCGAACTTTTCCATAATTTCATTGAGCGTAAGCTGTGAAATAAAGGCAATGCTGATTCTGTTTTTGCTTTGCATTATTAATCTTATGTTTGCTAGCTCATCTGCCTTTAGTATGCTGCTTTTGAGATTTTTTTTTCTTTCTGAATTGATTGTCCTATCACTGAACCTGGGCTTGTCTATTATGGCTGCTACTGGTAATGTACTGCTATTGCTGTTGCTGCTGTTATTATGGTGTTTGAAGTACAGAGTACTGGCTTATGATTTCAACGTTTGTTACTTGTTATACCAATTGTTCTTTGATTTTGTTTCAGAGATCGGGCTATGAAGTTTACCTATTAGAAGCTACGTACAAGGATCCAGCGGTGAGTTCAATTTTCACGTACAAGTTTTTTCTTACTGTAGGTTTTAGCCTCACAATGTGAAGTCTTGTTATCCTTAAGAAAACTACATTACATATTTTGAATACACAATAAAAATATAGCAATACTAGGGAAGATTTTATTTCCCTTGGTGGGATGTTAATGTCCTTTTTGGACTCAGGGTTGCACAGCTAGGAATGTGCATGGTTTTACCCGGGAAGAGATACAGAGGATGGCTGGACAGTGGGAAGAAGCTCCATCCTTGTACTTGAAACTGGACATCAAGGTTTGGCCTACTCATGTTTTGACAAACATAATTTCTTTAGCAGTGAAATAAACTTGGGGTGTGTTGGCTTAAAAAATTTAGAACCTTGGTTTTGATGTGTATTACCATTTGTGCTGGGGTTATAATGTAATATATATCTTTTTTTGGCATGGCAGTCATTATTCCACGGAGATGATTTGAAGGAAAGCACGATTCAAGAGGTAATTTCCAATATATAGATGATGCCTTATCTATAATAAGATTAGTGTTTCTTAAATTGTTTAGATTCATATGCTAGAATATGTTATCAACAAGAAACTTTATTTATTGAGATTCTCATTAAATATTTTTTGGTCGTTAATGTTATTTTCTTCCCTTTTTGTGGTTGTTATCCATAGCAATTTCAAGGAAATTGTTGGGCTGCTAAATTCTATTCCAATTGAGGTTCGTAAGAGTGAAACTGGGTAATAGGTAGCCAATCCTAGTTAAATACATTACATTGGGCCATAGCATGATGCTTTTAAGGCTTACATATTGAGGTCAATGAGAACATCAGAGTTCAAATTGAATGCTTAACGTAGAGTCCTGGCCGAGGTAGTGGGGTACTCATTACATACATTTCTCTTTTATTGGGGTTTTGCTTATGCATGGAACATGTTATATGTGCCTCGTACGTTGATCAAATATTGGGGCTTAACCTGTAAAGTATGGACATTAGTACGAGATTCAGATAGGATGCAATGCAGACACGCTAATACGACATAGATTGGAATAGGTAGGATAAGGTGTGGTATGAATTTGGCAATATTTTTATGTGTGTCTTTGTGCGCGACCTATGTTTTAGAGTCTGGATAGTAGATAACACCCCTTCGACAGATTCTTGTATTATTAAATACTTTACCACAGGCAAGGGGCTGCCTGCCACTATGATCTTCTGTTCTTCTTACATCCTCTCTAACTAGCAAGCACATCCTCAGAACACAGTTTACCAAAGAAAGCCGCTTCAGGAGATGCTTTAGCATGACAAATGGCCTTCCATAATAACCCGAAAAATCTCCCTTCCGTGAGCATCCTTAAAGGATCTCACCTCAAAATTTCTCCCTTGAATCGATCCACCTGAAAATCAACAATAGGTATATATAGTCTTTGAGCATATAACATGCCTAAGAAGGCCTCTACTCCATTAGACTCCCTATCCTCTATTGGCCTAATAAAGCTTACATCCTCATCATCCTACTCTTAGAGATCCTAAAATATTCAACAACCATGACCTTTTTGTCCCTTGTGATCCTGATGAGGCTTGAAAAATTCGTCGCAAGGGGCCCTTGCCACACTTATGTCTTATTCTACTTGAATTACATGTATGTAGTGCTTGATTTTGAATTATATGATAATTAATAGTATATAAAATGTATAGGTGTTATTTTTCCCCTTCTAATTATCTTCTAATGTGTTGCATATTATAAATTGTTTCAATGATAAATGTGCTTATGGTAAGTTACCCTGACCTCCCTTGAGGTTTGGCCTTACTACAATTGGTTTAAAGCTGTGAAAAGAATTTGGCTAACCTCCCCTGAGGTTTGTTTGAAATAACTCTTACATCCTCATCGTTAGTGAATTGTTTGGCCTGCTAAAGAGTAAACCTTAAATACCGAAAATTCTCTTATGTGCAATCTCTTACCTTTTACTTCTCTTTCTAATTTCTCTCTCTTCTCAATAACAATGATTCAACTTGTATTTATGCATATAAATTAACTTGTTCACACACACACACACATAAATATATATTAACTTGTATTTATGATAATTGCATTTAACTTGTATTTATGATAATTGAGGTTTGTTTGTATTTAACTTGTATTTATGATAATTGTTTGGTCATATATTTATGCATATAAATATATGGAGAGAGATGAGGAAGAGAGATAATTGAAGACGTATAAATTAACTTGTTCACACACACACACCAAGATTCAACGGGCGCCACCGTCTCTACACTTCCTTTCTGTTCTCTGCATTCTCTAACTGCCGCTCCCACTGCCATTTCATCCCCACTGCTCAATCAACCACCGCCTCTTATCTTCAGTTCTCTCTCCCCCTCAAGACCACCTTTACCATCGTATTTGTCTATTTCCCTGATTAAGATCACCATCAAAACCATCTCCTCTCCTTGTCTACTGCTCCGAAATCTTCGGTCCAAAACTGAATTTCGACCCTCCACAAAAACAATTTTACATGTTTATTGGAAGCTACATGATGGAATGAAAAGCAAATTTTGGAACTATGCATTTGAGCCTTAGTTATATTAGGGAGATACGAAGACACATAAATAGAGGAATTCCATTACAGAAATTACTGGGCTTGAAATGGGTTAAGTTCGGATTTTTATTGGTTTGAATAACAACAAAAATTTTACACTCAACACATGGTGATTGCGATTAGTGCTGTATCCATGCACCATGAAGGTAGTGAATTGTAAGAAACCCAGATTCACTGCTGTCTTGATGCCCTAACTCCAGCCATCTCAATGTGCATTACCGATGACATATCAGAGTCAATTCTGCCACCACTAGCTGCATTGCTCACGAAATCAGTATGGTTGCCTATCCAGCGTTGGGTCGTCAACTATCCCTTCGATCATCACAGCTCACCGTTGACAGTTGACACCCTAAACTGCCATCGTCGTTGCTAGTGACCTTCAATAACATCTCAAGTAGACTTGTTACCAGGATAGCTTCGTTGTTGCTTGCCTTTGTTGTCGTTGACTGAACCAACTGGTTGCAATAAATTTTGATGGAAAAGAAGAAATAGAGGGAGGATAGAAGGGAAGAAACTAGGTCTCTTGCTTGCAGTGTGTGTGTGTGTGCACATGGTGTTGTGTGTGTATGTATTGGTGGCCGGATGACGATTGAAGGGCCATCTATAACAATGAGAGAGTGGGGAGTGGCAATCCTGGTGGTGGTGGTGGGGAGAGGGGCTAGAAGTGGGGAGTGTGATTTTTAGAGAAAGAAATAAAGGGCATCGAAAAGGAATTTTAAAATTGTATAATGTCTTGTGATGTTAGCGGACTAACTTTGACAGGGTGGTATCAAAGTGATTTTTGCAAGATTTTAAACCAATGGTAATTAGGCCAAACTGATCAGGATAATTTACTCATATGTCAAATATGTAGATGTGTCAAAAAATTGCTTTACTTTACTCAGGCTCAGACCTTTTGCTGCATTTTGTGCTTTAAGTTCTCGGGGACCTTGGGTCTTAACTTTCCTTGGGCCGCTAGTAATTGTGACAGGAACTTAATATGCATAGCAATTTTTTTCCTCATCCTTCTGTTTGCGCTCTTCCACAGTCTAACCTTATAAGAGATCCAAACCGTCTTGGCATCTTGTATGCTGAATCCTCCCGTTGGCATGTTCCCCATTCTTAACACAGTGAGTCTTGCGTTGACAATTTTTTTAATACAAAACTGGAATGTATTTGAATAAAATGTATACAAAGACGATGAAGATAAAGAAGCATTGAAGACTATATGGAGAAATTCATTAATCTCAATCATGGTTAGGTAAAGGTGATATAAGAGTTAGTTTATTGGATAGTTGAACAATCTAGGGCCTAGGTTTGAGCATTAAATATAATTTAACTTGAGAAGATCCAAGTATTTGAAACATGGAACTTTGATTGAAGCTGACGAGGATTGATGTATTTAGAAGAAAGGGTATATATTCCAATTTTTTAGTGAACAATGTCCTGAGTTTTGAAAAAGAAAAACATCAAGGAGCGATAGAAAGCCTGATCGATTGATCCTTTCAATAGAAAAAAGGCATATTTGTACAATCGATACATTGATCTATCGAACTCATTGACCGGTGGCTACTAGAGTACTTGGATTGATTGAACTTGACGCCCGATTGATCAATAATTGGGATAAAGCTTTTCAAATATTATAATTTTGTAAATTTGAATGGTTTTAGGTTTCCTTTTTGTTTATATATCCTACGGGAGAGGTGTTCTGCATATTTTGTGGGAAATATGTTCACTACTGGCAAGAGGTGTAAACTGTACCCATGAATGAGAATTGAGAAGTAACACAGAAATTGGGAAAAACTGGAGTATATTTCATGACTTTCTAATACAAAGCAGCCTGACCTTTATAGGCTGAATACAATCAGATCAGAATCCAGTAAATTAAGGAATATACAATCAAATCCCTAAGATCAGAAAATAAAATAAGTCAACCTAAACTTTGATGCACCAGCTATATTAGCCTGTAATTAGTACAAAATCAGACAGTTAATACTTTCCAAATTTATTTAACAATTACATAAATCACGTAATTCTCCAACACTCCCCCTCAAGCTGGGGAATAAATATCTTCCATCCCCAGCTTGCAGATAATTCTTTGAAACGCAGGACTGGCTAACCCTTTGGTTAGTACATCAGCTAGTTGTCCTCTTGTTGAGACATACGGAGTGCAAATTAGTCCATTATCGAGCTTTTCCTTTATGAAGTGGCGATCAACTTCCACATGCTTGGTGCGGTCGTGTTGCACTGGATTATGTGCAATATTGATGGCTGACTTGTTATCACAATATAACTTCATCGGCCTCTTAACTGAAACTCCAAGATCCTTCAGGACTATTTTCAACCATAATAATTCACATATTCCTAAAGCCATGGCACGTAATTCAGCTTCTGCACTTGACCTTGCAACTACTGGCTGCTTTTTGCTCCTCCATGTAACAAGATTCTCACCTAGGAAGGCACAATAACCCGATGTTGATCTTCTATCTGACACTGAACTTGCATAGTCTGAGTCTGTGTAAACTTCTAAGTTCAAGCACAATCCTCTCTTGAACAATATGCCTCGACTTGGACTAGATTTTAGATATTGCAGGATTCTGTATACTGCTTGGAGATGTACTTCCTTTGGGTTGTGCATAAATTGGCTCACAACACTAACTGCATAGGCGATGTCAGGCCTGGTGTGAGACAAGTAGATTAATCTTCCAACAAGTCTTTGATACATTCCTTTGTCAACTGGCTCATCATCAACAGCTTCTCCAAGCTTATGATTTGGTTCAATGGGAGTCTTCACGGGCTTACAGCCTATCTTTCCTGTTTCTTTCAGTAAATCAATAACATACTTTTGTTGTGAGACGAAAATTCCTTCTTTGGAGCGAGCAACTTCAATTCCCAGGAAGTATTTCAGCTTGCCTAGGTCTTTTATTTCAAATTCCGTGGCCAGTTTAGCTTTAAGAGTTTCCCTTTCAGCTTGATCATTGCCAGTGACAATAATATCATCTACGTATACAATGAGTACTGTAACTCCCCCTGAAGAAGAGTGTTTTATGAACAAAGTATGATCACCTTGACTTTGTTTGTAACCCATTGCTAACATTGCTCTTGCAAACCTGCCAAACCAAGCCCTGGGGGATTGCTTCAGTCCGTACAGTGCCCTCCTTAGTCTGCATACCCTATTCTTCTTTGGAAAACTAAATCCTGGAGGAGCGTCCATATATATTTCTTCTTCAAGATCTCCATGCAGAAATGCATTTTTTACATCAAACTGCTGCAAAGTCCAATCAAAGTTAGCAGCCAGAGACAATAAAATTCTTATTGTGTTCATTTTTGCCACTGGGGCAAAAGTTTCTTGATAATCAACACCAAAGGTCTGGGTATATCCTTTTGCTACTAGCCTTGCCTTGTACCTTTCAAGAGATCCATCTGCATTGAATTTTACTGAAAACACCCATTTGCATCCCACAGTTTTTTTTCCCTTCGGTAATTTGACCATCTCCCAAGTCTTGTTCTTTTCCAGTGCGTCCATCTCAACTTTCATGGCCTGCTTCCATTCCCTGCTGTTTAATGCCTCAGACAATGTTTTAGGAACGGCTATTGAGTTTAGCTGAGTAAGGAAGGCTTTATGTGAGGGAGATAATTTTTCAAAGGAAACAAAATGAGAGAGTGGATGTTGTGTACACCTTCGGGTACCTTTTCGAACTGCAATGGGTAGTTCTAAATCAGTCTCATCAAACACAAGAGTGGAATTGTTTACCTGAGTAGTGTTTTTCTCCTGAGTGGTTTCTTTCCCAAGCATAGGTTCTGACTTTTGGGCTTGCTTCGGATTAGTCTTGCCTCCCTTCCTTCTCGAAAAAACTTGAAGTGGTTTAGTGACTACTGGATTGATTGATGGAGTTGGATTTTTAGGAGGAGATTGTGGTTGAGATTCAAGAGATGTCACACTTGGATTTTGAAGCGGAGGAATATCAGAACTGGGATCGGAAGTAGGTAGTGAAACCTGGGAATGAATGTGATCCGGACTTGGAGAAACCGCGGTAAGAGGGGAACCAAAGGAAACCGAGGCAGGAGTGGTTGCAGAACTTGGACTCAAAGATGGTGGTGACAATTTGGGCATAAGATCGAAATCGAGGACATCGGCATCATCATCCTTTTCATCACTTGTTACCTCCCCCTGAGGAGAAGGATGATGAAAGAAACTCTCATGTTCAACAAATGTGACATCAATTGAAATGTAGGTTTTCCGAGTAGGCGGATGGTAACATTTGTAACCTTTTTGAGTTGAAGAGTAACCTATAAAAATACATTTAAGTGCTCGGGGATCAAGTTTGCTTCGATTGTGAGCATAAACATGAGTAAAGATAACACAACCAAATACCCGAGGAGACAACCTGTTTGGAGTAAGGAAGTCTGGAAAATGATGTGAAAGTGTTTCCCAAGGACTTCTAAAATCTAAGACTTTGGTAGGTAATTGGTTGATGAGATGAGTGGCTGTAAGAACGGCTTCCCCCCAAAAATATTTTGGAACTTGTCTTTGAAAAAGAAGAGCACGGGTAGTTTCAAGAAGATGTCCATTCTTTCTTTCGGCCACCCCATTTTGTTGGGGTGTGTCAATGCATGAGGACTCATGAACTATTCCCTCCTGATTCAAATATGGTGAAAGAATTTGGTTAAAATATTCTCTCCCGTTGTCTGTCCTCACCCTTTTAATTTTCACCCCAAACTGTGTTTTTATCATGTTATGAAATATTGGAAAGATATTGGCTACATCAGATTTTTGCTTCATGAGAAAAGTCCAAGTTAGCCGCGTACAATCATCTATAAAAATGACAAACCAACGTGCCCCAGAATAATTAGCAACCCGTGAAGGACCCCAAACATCACTGTGCATCAAATAAAAAGGAACTGATGATTTATTATTGTTCAAAGGAAAGGAAACACGTTTGTGTTTGGCAATTTCACAAATATCACAATGAAGTTGTTTCAAATCAACATTTTTAAACAAAGAAGGAAACATAAGACTAAGAGTTCTGAAGGAAGGATGACCAAGCTGAAAATGATGAAGGAGAATTTTGTCTTTATTTGTGGAGGAATCAGACAGAAGCACAGATGAACAACCAATTCCAGTACTCACTTTTCCACTCATGGGCTCGAGACAGTAGAGACCATCCTTTTCTTTAGCATGCCCAATCGTCTTCCCCGAAGCTCGGTCCTGAAACACACATGAATTTTTTGAGAAAATAAGATTGCAGTTCATATCCTTGGGTGATTTGTTTGACAGATAAAAGATTGGTTGTCAATTTGGGCACATGTAAAACATTTTTAAGACACAAGGAAGGTCCTAAGGATATGTCCCCCTGTCCTGCAACAGTGACTAAATTCCCATCAGCTATGGTGATCTTTTTATTACTTGGGCATGGTTTATAAGAAGAAAAAGATTGGGATGAGTTGGTCATATGGTCGGTTGCGCCTGAGTCGACAATCCAAGAGTGTGGGTGGATTAAAACATTATCTGAGACACTAAGAGCATGAGAACCAGAATATATACCAGAAAGTGCTAATGAACAGGCACCTGTAGGTTCTTCGAGTGAATTAAGAAGGGATCGGAGGCGATCAATGTCTTCCTTACAGAATTCTCTGCTGCTGGAATTCGGTTGATCACTGGTATTATTAGTGCTATTTTGTGCAACGTGGGCTTTTCCCTTTTGCTGCCAGCTTCTTCCTGCGGAATTCCAGTTTGACTGATTCATGTTTTGTGGCCTTTCATGTAGCTTATAGCAGGTGTCCTTCGTATGACCAGTTTTCTTGCAATAGTTACATACCAGATTCTCTTTGAATGTCCTCTTCGGGTCAGATTTCTTATAGTCAGTAATAGCTGAAGACTTCTTCTCCAAAGTTCGCTCACTAGCAGCGGTTGTAAGGAGTGCCGATCTTTCCAATGGCTGCGAATCCAACATAACTCCTCTCCTGCTCTCTTCAGCACGAATAGTTGCAATTGCTTCATTTAGGGAGGATAATCCTTTCCCCAAAGTCTGAACTCTTACAGTATCGAATTCCGGATTAAGGCCTGCTAAGAAATCATAGATTCGGTCTTTTTCTATGAAAGCCTTCAACAACGCAGCATCCTCACTGTTCTTCATCTCGAGAACCTGGTAATAGTTTAACTCGTACCACAAATTTTTCAGTGTGTTGGCATACTCTGTTACAGACTTGTTCCCTTGTTTTGTGGCAGCTAGCTTCACCTTGATCTCGTACACCTGGGCTGCATCATTTTTCTTCGAATAAGTTTGTCTGATCGCCTCCCATATCTCTTGAGCGGTTGTCAAAAACATGACAGTATCACTTATCTCGGGTACCATAGCATTCCATAGCCATGACATGACCATTGAGTCTTCTTCGTCCCAAGCAGCAAACTTTGGATCTTCTTTCTTAGGCCCTTTTCCAAGAAGATGGTTGAGCTTGCCCTTCCCTTTCAGAAAGGTTTGAACAAGTTGAGACCACTTTAAATAGTTCGTTCCATTCAGCCTATACGCAGCTTGAATGTTCTGTAGATCTCCAGGAACCTGTTGTTGGATTGTAGGTTCCTCCGATTGAGAGCTGGTTTGTGTAACCTCTGACATCTCTTTTTTCTTCTGTAAAAAATTGAACTCCAAGCTGCTATGAAATCTGTAAATGATGAAATATTTTATCCCAGAAAGAGTACCTAGTGCTCTGATACCATAACACAGAAATTGGGAAAAATTGGAGTATATTTCATGACTTTCTAATACAAAGCAGCCTGACCTTTATGGGCTGAATACAATCAGATCAGAATCCAGTAAATTAAGGAATATACAATCAAATCCCTAAGATCAGAAAATAAAATAAGTCAACCTAAACTTTAATACACCAGCTATATTAGCCTGTAATTAGTACAAAATCAGACAGTTAATACTTTCCAAATTTATCTAACAATTACATAAATCACGTAATTCTCCAACAAGAAGTAATTAGCCAAAGGATATAAAATGAGTAATGTATTTTGCGTTTACAAAGTCATGTTTTATTATTATGTTGATGTCTAACATGAGTTTAACATATGGCCTTCCTTTTCTCTGTTTGGGACCACAGTATTAATTTTGTAGTAGTAGTGTTTTTCTAAAAAACTTCAGAGAAGGTATTATTATTATTTTTTATACATTTCTCATCTAGAATTTGCCAGGTGGACATGGATACGGAAGATGGAGATTCTGATGGTGGTATATCTGGATTGGAAAAAATAAATCCTGAGATTACAGTACATCCTGCTGGAGATAATGGACCCGATGGTATGTTGCCTCAATGAGCTTGCGAGAAATGCACACATCCACACACAATATTGTCATGTTTGAAATTGGCATATTGCGCCTCAAAATCTTGATTGTATTTTTTTTTTTTTCTGTTTAATTTTTTATAATCGGTCAATAGATTTTGGGACGCGGTCCCCTTTTGAACGCTTTCTAATACACTTTTACATGTAAAAAAAAAAAAAAAAAAAAAAAAATCGGTCAATAGATTAATATTTCTTGAGATGTTCAAAGCTTCCTTTTCTGAATTCTTTGACTGAAAAGGATTATATGCTAAGAAGGTAAACTGATATGCCAGTATTGTAATGATTGTTATATCATATATTCTACTATTCCACTACTTTGTCTTTACAATTATCTTTTGTCCTATATGAATAAGTATCATTATATGCTTGACTTTTGACCCGTTTTATAATGGCAATTTTAGTTAAAGCAAAAAAGTTGAACACTTTGAGATGTGTTCATATTATTTTCAACTTTTTGAGAGTTTAGAGGCCCTTTTAGGCCTCGTGTATCTTCTGAGGGTTGCATTCCCCTTTTCAACGCTTCTTTTATACAATTTTATTTATCAAAAAAAAAAAAAAAAAAAAAATATTTGCAATATCCCCCCTTAAACATAAATCGTATGATAACTACATGATAATGCTTTCTTATTTCTCCCCCTTTCCCCTCACAAAAATATTGACAAATTAAGCAAAGTAATATCATTTACAGCAACAACATGTAATCCCTGAAAATAACAAGGAAGAAAGATGGATGCCGAAGAGTTTACTAAATCAATTACATGTTCTCCCATTTTCTTAATCAGTCTTAAACAACAGGATCATTCTTTTGTCCCTTCCAGGCGATCGGAAAATAAAGAAATGGTTAACGTATTCAAGATAATTACGTATTTACAAAATACCGCGTTTCAATTCATCATATTTCGTCAGATCTGGGATGTGATATGGGAGGGAGGTTCGAGTCCTCTTCAAGGCATAATATTGATAATGCTTATTGAATGAGCAATTCAATTAGGGAGCTCGGATCAAATCAGTATATCAATACCGATTGAACTTCTGTGAGATATTTATATAATTAGTTTCTCTCTCGTCTATTTTTGTCTCCCATCTATCTATTTTCTTTAGTTATTCACTAGAGCAATTATGATCTGGAAGTCGATCCAGGGCAAGTGTTTGGATCTATTATGACGGGACTCAAAGTTTGTGCTAAAGAGCGTGGAGGTTCGAATCCTCTTCAAGGCATAATATTGAGAATGCTTATCATTCAATAAGCGAGCTCGGATCGGAGAAATTCTACAATTCCCTGGGGGTATTTTGACACTAGGTACTCCTCCCAATCAAAGATGTCTGTTTTTTTTAGGTAAATGGAGAAGTGGAGAGTTTCAACATAAATGAGAAACTTTTGATTGGGAGGGGTACCAAGTGTTAAAATACCGCCGGGGTATTGTAGAATTTCTCTTCGGATCGAATCGGGATTGATTGAATATTTGCAACAAGAAATGAATCCTAACTTTAGGATGACTGACCCTTTTAATCCAGTCCATATAATGTCTTTTTCGGGAGCTAGAGGAATCTCAGGCACATCAATGATTTAGGTACTCCAAAGGATGAAGGAAGATGGGACGCTGAAGCAGACCCTCATATAGACGAAGTGAAAGGATTAGGAAGGAGTAAATGGTCAGCAAATTTTGATGAAGATGATGCCCAAAGAACTGAAGCTGTAAAGGGGAATTTAAATGCTCTGTCTGGGTTGGTTCATGCTTATGGCAGAGAAGGTAAATCTGTTCACTGGGGTGACCAGGTATGTGTTATATAACATGTTATTATTTCCTTATGCTACATGTTCTCGTGATTTTTATTTGTGTTATACTTTATCATATTCAGACTTTAGTCATGCTCTTTCTGGTGTTTGTATGTCTGCTTCTATGTGGTGCATCTTTTGTGATTTATTTACGAAATATGTTGAAATAATGATTGATATTTTAAAATAAGATACTTGTAATATCTTTGAAGCAGGATGGATTGGATAGAAATGCTCATAAACTCAAATTGAATGTTGTCTAATTTACCCAAAAAAAGGAGGTAAAAAGAAAAGAAAAGAAAAAGAAGAGGAGAAATTGAATGCTGTCTAAAACAATAGTTAATTATCATCAATTGTCATGGATAATCAATTCCTGATTACTTATTGATCCAATGGTGAGGGGTTGGTACTCAGAGTTAAAAGAGTGGTCAGGAGTTTAAAGCTTCTTTTAGGCTTTTAATGACATTGTGCGTGAAGGGGAGGATGTCTGTGGGATTTAGGATTCATCTACTATATTTAGCACCAGTGAAGGGGAAAGGAAAAAAAAAATACATGGGATGTCATTGAATTGAGTTAGTGTTTCCAGTGGTATTTGCTGACATCTGCTTTATCCTCGTTTGTCTTTGTCACCCCGTTCATATTGTTTCCATTTATAAGGCTTAATAACATCATTCAGGTACCTGTATTTTGCCAAAAAGAATGTCATTTATTGATGGTGACTGGTTTATGTTGCATTCTACGTTTCCTTCAATTGTAAGAAACTTTAATATGTATTGTGATCACATATGCACCTTAATGCACTCACATTCATGCCTTTTGTTGTTAAGATCGATTATTATTGGTATGAGGATTATTACTACAAAAGGACGGAGAGATAGATAGTCGATCTAATTAGTAGAATTGGATCAGGTTGAACAATTGAGGCAGGCTAGTGGTGTTTTATGCAAAAAGGAAAAAAAAAAAAATGAAAAAAAGGAAAAAAAGGAAAAGAAGAAGAAGAAGATAAGATAAGAAAAGAAAAAGGGATAAACAGTAAATTTGTAAGAAAGTTTTTAGGCCAACTATCTTGTACCAAACGGAGTTTTAGGTTTTGAAAAAGGAACAAGAACAACGCATTCATGTAGTTGAAATGAGAATGTTAAGATGGATGGTAGGAGTGACTCTAAGAAGCACGGACACGGATACGGGACACGGATACGACACGACACCGACATCCAAAAAAATTAGGATACGGACACGGTGAATAGTATATATATATATATATATATATATATATATATATATATATATATATATATATGATGTAGTACTTTAAAAATTATTGAGTGTTCCTATTTTTCATCAACCTCACAATGAAAAAAAAACACAAATCATAACTCATAACTAATAAACTATAAAAGAACAATGTTGCAGAGTTATAAAACCAAATAAAAAACAAGACATTAGAATAATAACTAGTATCATTTAATCATCATTGCAACTTTACTCCAAATACAAAAGCATAGACAAGAAGGACTATTAACACTCATGACTGTAAAAAATAACAATGCTCTTAATTTTTTGGGGAATGACGTCACTATGGGCGATTTCACCCCACTAGGGGCGATTTTTATCGCGATTGAGACTTTGTTTTTTTTTCTTTCTTCTTTTTTTGTTTTATTCCGTGAAGAAATCTTACTTAGAAACTGCAAGGATTCCAAGAATCTCATTAGCTGGGGATGTGAAGTCGGCTGTTCCGCATCGAGGACCGTCTATGTATATCGACGGGAAGTCCGTCGGAGGGAGGAAATTAGTACTCTCATCTTGCTTGGTTGGTCGTTTTGATAAGGAAGTTGGGGGCTGTGATCGTGTGGAGGAATGGGCAGCGAAAGCATGGAATACGTCCTGTGGCGTGGGGGTTACTCCATTATCTGATTCGATGCTTCTTTTCAGGTTTCCTTCTCAGGCCGAAGCCCAACGCGTGTTAAAGGAAGGACGACGTCACTGGGGATCTGCAACTTTACGGATCGATGTGTGGTCTTTTAGGGTTGGATGTTGTGGCGTCCTTAGAGAAAAAGGACTCAAACAGATCCGGATGTTTGGGCTCCCCCTTCATCTATGGTGTCATGCCCTATTTGTTGAAGTAGGGGAGTTATGCGGCGGATTTGTGGGAGCTGTTGCCGATGAAACCAGGGATGCCGAGAGCGTTCGTATTACAGTGAGGATAGGATTGACTTGTCCGCAATTTGTGTTTATTAATGATGATACTTTCTACTACAAGGTGGCGATTTGGGAAGAAATTGCGCCGGCGTTGGTTCCCTCAACAGAGAGTATTGAAGGCGGCGAAAGGCCTACTCATATGCCGGAGGAAGGATGGGTACGAGGAAGATCAAGTCAACAACACGCGCCGGTTACGCGCGTCACAGCTGATAATAATTACTCTACACGTGGTGCTCATAGAGTTTCATTTCCAGATTCCACACTATCCTTATCTACAAGGGTTGGTGAGGAAAATGGGCTGGGCCACACAGATCGGCCTAAAGTTGATTTGGGCCGGAGGGGTTATGGGCAAACTAAAGCGTTAAGGCTCAAGCCTGATTTTGGGCCTAAGTTAGCCCATACTAAAAGACGGGTTATTAGAAAACCAAACTCAGTTTCTGTTTCTGTTCTTAATGACCCAGATCCAAGGAAAGCCCAGGTTAAAACTCAAGCCCAAAATCAAACTCTCTCCTCTTCTTCATTTCAGCGTCGGACTGAGAAAGAAAAGTGGAGACGGCCGGTTGGTTCAGCTAGTCGACAAGGTACTCGATGGACTCGTACTGAAAAACAGAAATGGGTAGTACGCTTTCCTTCTCCTTCTCCAAGTTTGACCCCTCTTTCTCATCTTAAGAGCTCATCTTCTACCCCTTCTTCGAGTAAGGTGCTGGGAAATGGTGAAGGTGTAGTGGAGGATCGTTTGGATCAAAAGAGAGGTTTTTCTAAGCTATTGTACCACGGGATGCAGAATCATCGTCTTCAATGTCCAAGTTCGGAAGTATTGATTGTTCTAACGGGGTGACAGTTTGTGTTGGTCGAGACCTTCATTTTAAACTGAAAGATGATTTAGCCATGACTTTACTTAATGAACTTAAGCTCTGTGCTGCTCTAAAAGGCTTAAATGGTCTACCCCCCGTGACTGGGACCAATTCTACCCATGATTTAATGAAAATTTTTATGGATGACACTGGAACAGAATTGAATTTGCAATTAAACCTGTATCAGAACAATACTAAAAGCAAAGGAGAGGACTTTGATGATTAGTCTCAACAGATTTGTCCTCTTGCCTGGGATGTTGATCAATCTGATGTGGACATTATGGAACCCTTAGCAACTGTGCACCCTAATTGCTTAGAGACAGTTAACGATATGGGTATGGACTGGGTGTTGGATAATATTGGCGAGGTCAGCGAAGCTTTGGGTGTCTCCTCGGAAGGAGATGATGATCGAACACAAATCATTCTTCATGATATCGTGGAAGGAAACAATAATGTAGAGACCTTTAAAAGCACAAAAGTTGTTAAAAATAAGAAACATGCACATCGGAAAGGTGATCAGGAGGTTAAGAACCTTATTTCTAATATCAATTACGAAGGGAAGGATGGGGTGAATAAAGAAAGGGAAAGGACTAGAAGTGGGAAGCAGGGAGAAGGGGCACTAATCATCTTTGGTTCTCAATGAAGATACGAATTATTACATGGAACGTCCGTGGATTAAATGATCCGGACAAAAGAAGGGTGGTTAAAGTTGCTTTGAAGAAGTGGAATGCCCGTGTTATTTGCTTGCAAGAAACCAAGTTGGCTTCTATTTCTGATGCCGTGGTTAGAAGCCTTTGGGGAAGTAGGTTTGTGGATTGGGAAGCTTTGAACGCTTATGGTACATCAGGCGGTATTCTTATTATGTGGGATCGTAGATGGATGTCTAGAACGAATATCTGGAAAGGGCTATTTTCTTTGTCTTGCGTGTTTCAGATGGAAGATGATAACTTTAGTTGGGTATTTTCTGGAGTTTATTGATTGTGTTAGACCTGCTTTTTGGCAAGAACTCAGTTACATTAAGGATTTGTGACCGTTGCCTTGGTGCTTAGGCGGGGATTTCAATTCTGTTCGGTCTCCATTTGAAAGATCCACAGGGGGGAGGTGGTCTTCAGAGATGACCCGGTTCTCTGACTTTATTGATGGTCACCTTCTTATTGACTTGCCTTTGGAAGGGTCAACTTTCACTTGGTCTAGTGGCAGAGACCCAGTTACTTTATTGAGGCTTGATAGATTCTTAATTTCTGGAGATTGGGAGGAGAAGTTTCCGGATGTCACTCAGTCAGCTTTGGTTAGAGTCACGTCTGATCATGTGCCCTTAGTTCTTGATTGTGGAGGCATGAGATCTAGACGGACTCCATTTCGTTTTGAAAATATGTGGTTGAGAGCTGAAGACTTCCAAGGGAAGGTCCAGTCCTGGTGGGAAGAAACAACGCTTCCTGGCTCTAATAGCTATGTGCTTGCTAAGAAGTTTCAAATTCTCAAATCTGAGCTTAAGAAATGGAATAAAGAAGTGTTTGGGAATCTTGAATGGAAGAAAAATAGAGTCCTGGCTGATATTGCTGATCTTGATTGTCTTGATGAGACAGGGCAAGATACGGATTCTCTTCGCTCTAGAAGAGCGACTTGTCAGGCAACTTTTGCTGAGATAGCCACTATGGAGGAGATATCGTGGCGTTAGAAATCTCGGTCTTTGTGGCTTAAAGAAGGTGACCGTAATACTAAATTCTTTCACAGACTTGCTAACGCTCATAGAAGATACAATAATATTGGGCGTATTCGTGTGAATGGTTCAGAGCTGCGGAAGGAAGATGAGGTGCGTGGGGGTATTGTTTCTTTTTATCAGCAGCTCTATACTGAAACTTTGGAATGGAGACCAAAACTTGATGGTTTGCACTTCAATGCTATTTCCATGTTGGATAGTGATATGCTTGAGGTTCCTTTCTCTGAAGAGGAAGTTCTTAAGGCATTATCCAGTTGCAATGGTGATAAAGCTCCAGGGCCAGATGGAGTCACTATGCGGTTTCTTAAAGAGAGTTGGGAGGTGGTGCGTAATGAGGTAATGGGCACTTTTCAAGAATTTTATTCTCATGGCACATTCGAGAAATCATTAAATGCATCTTTTATGGCTCTTATTCCTAAGAAGAGCAACGCCTCTGACATTAAGGACTTTCGGCCAATCAGTTTAGTGGGGTGTTTGTATAAGCTTATTGCCAAGGTTCTTGTTCTTAGAATGCGGACTATTTTGGATGGAATCATTTCAGAGTCACAAAATGCTTTTGTTGGTGGTAGACAGATTTTAGATTCTGTTCTTATTACAGGAGAATGTGTCGATTCTAGGTTGAAGAGTGAAGTTCCTGGTGTTTTTATGCAAACTGGATATCGAGAAAGCTTATGATCACGTGAATTGGAAATTTCTTCTTTGTTTGCTTCGGAGAATGGGGTTCGGAGATCGATGGATAAAATGGATTGAATCTTGCATCTCATCAGTTATGTTCTCTGTGCTTGTGAATGGCTCTCCTGCTGGCTTTTTTCCGAGTTCGCGTAGTTTGAGACAAGGAGATCTTTTGTCGTCTTTTCTTTTTCTCATTGTCATGGAGGGATTGAGTAAATTAATGAAAAAGGTAGAGAATCTGGGTTACATAAGGGGGTTCACTGTTGGTAGAGATGCTGCTAACCAGATTGAGATATTCCATTTGTTGTTTGCAGATGATACCCTGGTTTTTTGTGATGCTGATGTTTCCCAGCTCAGGTATTTGAGGTGCATTCTTACATGCTTCCAAGCTGTGTCTGGTCTTAAGATTAATGTTGGAAAGAGTGTGCTTGTCCCAGTGGGGGAGGTCTCTAATATTTCCACTTTAGCTGCTGTTCTTGGATGTGGAGTGGGTGCCTTTCCACTCCCTTATCTTGGCTTACCTTTGGGAATCTCCTCTAGGATAGTGGGGACATGGATCCGGTGATTAACAGGCATGAAAAAAGATTGGCGGGGTGGAAAAAACATTATCTTTCGAAAGGGGGGAAGGTCACTCTTATTAAGAGCACCCTCTCGTCCCTTCCCATATATTTATTATCTCTATTCCAGATCCTGTGTTCTGTTGCTGAAAGAATTGAAAAAATTCAGAGAGATTTTCTTTGGGGTGGAAAAGGAGAGGAGTTTAAGTATCATCTTGTTAGTTGGGAGCAGGTTTGTAAACCATTGAAGTTTGGTGGTTTAGGTATCCGGAAGTTAGTCCCTTTCAATAGAGCTTTATTGGGGAAGTGGTTATGGAGATTCGGTAAAGAACGTTATCGACAATGGAGAAGAGTTATCTCGTGTCGTTTTGGGGAAGAGAGTGGAGGTTGGTCCTCTCGTCCTGTTTCTATTACCGGGGGCGTTGGCGTTTGGAAGTTCATTCGGAAAGGTTGGGATGTGTTTTCCACCCATATTCGGTTCAAGGTTCGTAATGGTATGTATGTTAGATTTTGGGAAGACTTTTGGTGTGGTGATCAGTTGTTGTCTCTTTCTTTTCCTCGTCTCTTTAGCATTGCCGAGAATAAGCATGCTTATGTAATTGATTGTTATCATCTTGATAACAGTGGAGTTACGTGGGATGTGCGTTTTAGGCGTTCCTTTCAGGATTGGGAGATAGCTGAAGTTTGCGTCTTCTTGGACCTGTTGTATAGACAGAAAGATGTTGGCAGAGGTTGTGATGATATTTTGTGGACTCCCTCTCTTCATGGTAGATTTGAAGTTCAATCCATGTTCTTATGTTTGTCTAATTTTATTGGATATGATTTCCTTTGGAAGTGTATTTGGCGCTCTAAAGCTCCTCTTAGAGTTGCCTTCTTTGTTTGGACTGCTACTTGGGGAAAATTTTTAACATTGGATAATCTGCGTAAGAGAGGTAATACCATTGTTAATTGGTGCTGTCTTTGTAAAACTGATGGTGAGTCCGTGGACCATCTTCTTATGCATTGTCCTGTTGCATCTGATTACTGGAATCTCATATTTAGTATTTTTGGCGTTCAGTGGATAATGCCTAAGCACTCTTTCCAATTAATTAATGCTTGGAGAAGATGCCCTGTTTCTGGTCATGCTCGTGATTTTTGGAGGGTCGCCCCACATTGTGTTTGGTGGTGTATTTGGAGAGAGAGAAATAACAGAAACTTTGAAGGGAAGGAATCGTCTTTTGCAAACCTTAAGTCTTTTATCCTACGCTCTCTTTTCTGCTATGTCAGAGGCAGCACTTGCTCCTCGATCGATGACTTTTTTGTTCTATTGGACTCTGTTGGTCCATAGGTTTGGCTTTTGCTCTTTCGTTTTTGTGTATCAGGGGCGCGTTCCCCTTTTGAACGTCTTTCTAATATATTTTTACTTATAAAAAAAAAATGACTATTTAACATTCAGGACTTTACTGTTAGTACTTAACATTCACAAAAACCTAAAGGCTAGTCCCCAAAAAAGATACAAAAACCAAGTCAGTGTACTATAATCTATTCCCATACATCATTTGACCTAGGACTTTTACCATTTACAATATCAAAAGGGTAGTACAAAACAAAAAAAAGAACATATCAGCATTCAAAAAAAAAAAAAAAAAAAAAAATTTCTAGAAGTGTCCGTGTCGTGTCCGCGGAGTGTCTGTGCCGTGTCCGAAAATAAAAAAAAAAAAAAATTCCAGACACCTTTTTTGGCGTGTCCGACATGTGTCGGGGCGTGTCCGACGCGTGTCCGTGTCCGACGTGTGTCCGTGTCCGACACGTGTCGGACACAGATTTTTCGCCCATTTTGAAGTGTCCGTGCTTCCTAGGAGTGACTTGTAGAGATAGGGTTACTAATCACAGTGTGAAAGAATAATTAGGAGTATCACGTATTGGAGATGAAATAAGAAAAAGTAACTTTAGCTGGTATGGACATATATAATGGAGACATATAGATGCTCTCGTAAGAAGAGGAATAGTAGTTTGCATAGAAAGGTAAGATCAGAGGTTTACCAAAAGTAACACGGGGTAAAGTTATTAGAAATGATTTTGAAAAAGTTAAAAACATAGTAGGAGAGATGACTTATAGTAGGAAAGAATGAAAAAAGAGCGTCCATGTGGCTGACCTCATTCATAGAGGATTAAGGCAAAGGATGATGATGACTATAGTGATGTGCTGTGTCTATTTAATGGCTTAGTGTAGTTTTGATGTTGATTTACTTCTGTGCACATCTTCTACTCTCGAATCATTGCCGAGCATTTTCTCCTTTCTAATTTTTTGAAGTGGAGGCAGAGTTTATCTCCTAACTTTTTGAGTTTTTTGGTGGTCTTATTACATAGCCTTTTCAGGTCACCTACTTTTCCTGTAACTTAAATATACTGCCATTTGCCTATCTATCAGGTTGGCAATACCGGCTTCTCAATAGGTGCTGCCAAAACGGCAAAAGTCTTCTCTTTAGTGATTGGGCCTGGTGCTGGATACAACTTGGTGAGTTATCTATCTAGCAATTGGCCTTCTAATTTAGGCAGATTGGTTTAAAAATATCTCAACTGCCTATATTCATCTATAATATTCTCCCTTTTTAAAAAAGGACACTTGGTTTTAGGATTTGCACATAGTTCTTATTTTATCCATCTTGGAAGTAGCTTGTTTTTCCCATCTGGCTTTTGACATTGGAACTAAACTGAGGCTTTTCTTTATCACTATATATATATTTTTACCTCACTTCTAGTTCCTTACTATTCATTAATTTATTTTTTTAACAAGAAACCAGTCTAGTAAATTGATTATAACTTGTACTTCGACACTTGCAGAAGGCTAACCCCTTACCAGAAGAAGAGAATCTGACATCCACCCAGAACACTGGTGAGTCAAAGGGGCGAAGCATATTCCAAGAGCAACTCCGTGCTGAGCGCGCGTCTTTCAAAGCTGTGTTTGACAAGAGGCGACAACGAATCGGAGGCCTTGTCATGGAAGAGGAATAATTTTTGCTGAAGCAGATTCTTTAAGCTCTGCAGTTAATGGCAGATTTTAGCAGCTGTGGTGTTACAGTATATACAAAAAAAGAGGGAGAAGGTGTTTTTCAGGTCCTCTCCTTGTATAAGCTTAATGAATAGGGGCCTATTTCTTTTTAAAATTTTTTATTTCATATTTTATTTTTTGTATTGTTTCCGAGGAAATTGTTGTATTTTGTGCCTGAGAATTGATGGCTCTCTTCCTTAATTGTTTGGCAGACTGGTTACAAGAACAATTTCTTGTGCTCAGGTTCATGCGAATCATGCATTTGGTGATAGTTTTGGTTGGAGGCAGATTGAAGGTATTCATGTCTCTTTAACATTATCCAAAAAACTTATCAAAGGTTAAGAGCATGCCATCGTTATCATCATCCTTGCCTTGATCCTAGTGGGGGGTCGGCCACATGAATTCTCTCTCCAATCTGTTCTTTTAAAAGTCAATTCACCAATTATTTAACTTTTAAAAGTCATTTTTAATAATCTCATCTGATATTATTTTTGGTCGCTCCCTGTCTCTTATCTTCCATAGCATCTTTAGGTCTCCTATATGTGTTCAAATCATCTATAGTCTATTTTATCTAATTTTTGCACCCAACACATTCATACACCAAATAGTTTTGGTCAAAATTTTATAATCGTGTTAAAGCGAGAGAGAATGTGTTATATAAGTTATGCAAACGTTTGGTTAGGGATTTATTTGAAAAGGGGTTGGTCTACGGTTGTGTTGCAGTGGGGAAGAGTGGGAGGAAGGGAAAGTTAAGAGCATAAGGGGAAGGAAAGTTGTTGGAATTAGTCATATTGTGTTGATAACTTTTGCGACCAAAACGTGTTGTAATTGTTCACGTTGAGTTGGTTTAGGTTGTCTTTTTTGGTCTATCAATTATGGGTTAGTGGTTAAAGGAGAGGAGGAGGAGGGTGCAACTTAACCATTCAGGCAACACAACGATCTATTCTTATTCTTACTGTAATTGGACATAGGTTTTTTAGTTCCGTTAGCAGGCAGGGGAGCAACCAAGTTTTACAGATAATCGGACATTTTCATACCAAGATTTCAAATTCTCTCATATGATCTTCTTTCTTTTTTTTTTTTTTTTTTTTTTTTTCGGTTCAAGATTTCAAAGTCTATAATATTAGCTTTTTTGGTGGTTATAGTTGGATCTAGGGTTATATATAGAACTATATTTTTTTAGACCTTTATAATGTTAGTTTCGAGCAACTCGCTTAGAGACCTATGGAAGTTTGTAGAATCGGAAGTCAGAGGCTATGATGGAGAATCGTGCAATTTCGTAGAGTTTGGAACTTGTCTCTATCGAGCCTCTGATAGTACACTAATCTAGACCTAACTGGTTGTGCTCGTGATTTATCTTCTAGGGACGGGTCTAAAGGACCATGCTTAGGGGTTTCCATAGTTATAATATATATATATATATATATAAATAAAGGGTAGTATGCATTGATGATGAATTATATCTATGCATGTGTGTACACATGATGGGTGAAAGAGTCTGAAAAGTTTTTCGAAATGGGTTTGAAAAGTATTTGGTGAAATTTTTAATTCTTGACTAAAATGTTATCGAGTTTATTAACTTAATCATGGAGCGTCGAGTGACAAAACGGTGGTCATGAAAATCTGGACTGAATCAACAATAAATCGGACGAAATCCAAATCCGTTACCATGGAGGTTAACACATGATGGAAAGGGTTCCGAGCATAGAATTCATGTTCTTCCCAAAGCAGGACATTACTCTATCCCTTTTTCAAGTCAAATCCAAGTTTAGAAGCTCACGTGTTGATGCATGCACATACTCTAACTAATGCAAGGTCTTATCACTCATTAATATGGTCTAACTTTTTGTAGATGCTACATTCTAATGTTAGGCGCATTTCAAATTATATTTCTTCAAGAATCATTGGCCGGTAGTCACTGTGTCCCATCATTCCACACGATCGGACAATCCAAATTATGTCAATGATGTAATGTATTGCGCTTTCAATTTGATAATGCACATTATAAAAATATGATATGAAAAATATAAGATAATTCAGATCCCCTCGTAAATACTTATCGCGTAAGAGTGCACTTTATGAGCTCTAATGTTAATTCTTGTATTCTTTTTCTTTTAGAATTAAAAAAATAATTAATTAACATGCCGAATAAAAAATAAATAAAAAAACCAATTTCATTCTATTTGTGCAGTAGGAAACTTCATATTATAGAGTATGTTTACAATGAAATGACCCCAAAATTTTACAAGAAACATCAACGATTAAGAACGAAAAAGTTATAATCAACTGAGTGTTTGCTAAACTTCCACCTTATTCACTCATTGATATTCTAACTCCCCGGATCATCTACTAAAACCCAGAGTAATAATTTAAATAATAATACCATGAAATATAAAATTCTTTTGAATAATTGAAGTGAATTGCTAGACTTACTCTATTAATTGGGCAATTCTGTAACAAATAAGGAAGTGGAATCTTCCACTTAGTTATATTAATTTGGTATAAATAACCAATTAAAAATTATTTGATTAGGCAATTCACTGCAAGTATTCGGTGTGAATATCACTATTCAAAATTCTTTAGCGTCTGCTTCTCTTGAATCCGGTTCCTGTTTTAACTATGGTTTTTTTTATCTTCATTTTGTCCAAGATTGTATGGTTTAACACGGCTTATCTTTTATGCATTTAAGAGCACCGGAAAAGCGTGTGATCATGTTCACAAAATTCCCAGGCTTTGGTTTCACAAAATCAGACTTGGAGAAGGTCTGTTTTGGGTCGCCTGATTGCCTAAAATAGGCTCCGTTCATGAAAACATCTCCCTCTGATCTCCACAGCCAATTCTTCCACACACTTTCATCTGCATAGTCCCTCTTCGTCACCTACACCATCACAAAACAAACATTACTACAAAATTTGCATACAAACTAGTTATGCCCGCACATATGTATATGTATATATATATATATATATATATAGGTTGCGTGCCATAAACCCTCATGTGATATGCAAATAAGGTATATAACTCCTTATAGGTTCTTAAAAGTTTCTAATTTTTATTTTTGCCAGTAATCAGTAGAGCAATTAAAAGATTAAAGTGCCCTTATGTATTTGAATAAAAATGTGAAAAACAAAACAAATGTAAAATGACCAAAGTACCCTAACCAAAAGAGAGGGACATGATGTTTATATGTAAAAGGCATTTTTGAGAGACTAAAAGGGCAATTTAATAAATTTGTTACTTAATATAAGCACACTTAAATGTGATTTTCTGTCATATTCTACTACTTAAAGTACTTATTTGTTCATTTTTTTAAACTTAACTGACTTATATAGTTAAAATAAATGTTATGGCAGAGTGTTATTTGTCCAAATTTTAAGCATTTGATTGATGTCTCTCTCTCTCTCTCTCTCTCTCTCTCTATATATATATATATATATACACACACACACACATTAATGTGCAAGAAAATAGGTAGTATTCATGGGTGTATTACTTTTTCTATTTGATATTCCGTGATTCTTGCTGTTATGATTCAGAAAGTGTCACATCAACTCATATTTTATCATTTTTTTTTCTACATTTTTTTCACTAGGATCAATATTTATATATAATTGCAATGAATAAAATTCTTGTGTCTTTGATAATGGTTTTTTTTTTTTTTTCTTTCTCAAATGCATCCATCTTTGTTCAAAATTTTCTTTACACTAAGAATCTTATTCATCCAAACACCATCTTATTTTGAAAAAATCAACACATAAGTTAATTAGTTGACGTGTCGCGTTCCGAACCATATAATTAAGCATAAGCGAGGAAAAGTAATGGAGAGGATCCGGATTCGTGTGCAGTTACGTACCTCTTTGGCAGCATTGTCGGGGGGAGCGATGAATCGGTTTCCCTGGCTAAGAATGGTGGGATGTTGGCTACCACCAATAGCATACATGTGCCAGTGAGTGTAGTCATTGTTTACGACATGGATGAACCCCCATCGGCACCTTGGCATTCTTTGTGTCAACCCCTGCCCAAAGTGATTGAAAGCAACAGTAACCTGCATGTTTTCATCCTCGGAGTAGCCATCACTTGCTCCAAACAACATCACCTGCAAACATAATATCAATATCAAGCCTAGCTTAATCGCTTGTGGACAAAATTCTCAAATTCTTTTTGAGCTCCCAAACCTAGCTAGTGTTACCTAATATTTTATGGCATGCAATTACTTGAGGATGTCAATGGGCGAGTTCCGGTCCCGCAACTCTTTTTTCAAACCCATTCCACCAATGATTTTTTTCACTATTAGGTGCGACTCAAACATGTGTGTGTATATTGATGGTTTTTTTTTTTTTTTTTTTTTTTTTTTTTCGCCTTGTTTATTTAGTTTAGGCTTTTGGCTTGAATATCCTTATTTCTTGAAAAATGATATTTGAGCTGATAAATTAAACTTCGGATAAAAGTCATTGGACTAGTTTTTATTAGGTCTAACTTATCAGTTAGGTAGCATTATTCTATTTCTTTTGAAAATAAAAAGATGGTCAATGGAAATATTTGTGGATTATCTTCCCGGGTTGGCTCCAGTGGTGAAACCTGGAACTTAATGCTTTCTGATTCAAATTCTCTAGAGTGCGATCAATTCTTTAGAGGCCACGACCATGGATATGGTTGGAGTGTTACCCTATTCATGTGAAGGGGTCATTTTCCACGTGTCTTGTGGATTAGTCGAGCAAAACCCCTATTATCGAAAAATAAAAAATAATTTTTTTTTTCTGGATTACCTCATTATGGTGGGTAAAGTGGCAGTTGGAGATGGTAATAGCTGTGGAAGCTTGGATAACATCTATTAGTCCGTCATAGCAATTGGACATGGAAATATGATCAATCCAAACATTTACAGATCCAAAGATTGAGACACCATCACCATCACTAGCCGAGCGAGTACCATAGTGATCCACCGAGTCCCTGATCGTGCACCCATTACCCTTCTTAATATCATGAATGTGGAGGCCATGGATGATCACATTTTTCACATACTGTATAGTGATGCCAGCACCATTGGCAATGTGCACATTAGCTCCGCGCCCATCAATGGTCTTATGACTCGTCACTATAAGCTCCGCGCTTAACCTAATTGCCATGCTGCGCGCGAATGTGATCCACAATGGTTGTGTCTGGATAACTGCATGGCGCAAGGTCCCCGGTTTAGGGTTTACAAGGTCATTGTCGGACGGATCAGTGACCACGTAAAATTTCCCGCCCTTGCCTCCGGTGGTTTTGCGCCCAAACCCTAGGCCACAATCGGCTAGCCTCATCCGGTTTTGTGCCCAATTCTTTTGGCACCTCCAGCACTGGTCAATAGGGTTTGTGGCCAAGCAAGGTCCATTATACTTGTGTAATTCTCTTCTTGTGTTGTTGTTACTACCCACAGTTCTTCACCACAAAACAAGTTTTCATTATCAACACTAAGTACCATATATATATTGATACATATTTTTTTTTTAAAATTACAAAGAGAATGGACGTACTTGTGACCAACAAGTTAGTGGCGTATGATTTGAACATCAGTGGAGGCGTATGTGTAAGTACCAATTAACTAAAAAGAAAAAAAAAAAAAGGACTTACTTGTGAACGTGGTTGTTGAAATGATTCAAAACTTCATGAGGTTTGGGATGGTAGGCCTTGCGAGTGGCCTTCTTGGCTTCTGCGGCACGCTTCTGCCAGAAACCATCAAAATGGGCAATGTTTGCCTCTATGGTTGAAAATGTTAGAACAACAAGCACTACAAAAAACAACCTAAGCTTAATAATACCTTCCATTGTTGTCTGTGTCATTAATTTTTTTGGTTCTTTAATTGTGTTAATTATCACTTTTCACTTACTATATATGTTATTTTGAAATTGTGGTTCACATAGACTTGGATTGTGGCACTTGAACTCTATATGGTCTACCAAACACATATTTACAAGGCATGTCACCATTGGTTTTTTTGGCAATGGCCTCTGGGTAACAACCGTAAAATTGGTATGTTAGTCAAGTGGGGAGTGGTTTGTATAAAACTAGAAGAATTTCTAAATGAAGGGAAGGAAAGGAAATGAGAATGAGAAATAGGGAGGGAAGAGTGGGGAACCATGCACACTTTCCAATAACTGTCAAGTGTTTGTCATTTTAGGTGCGCTTTCTTTTCTCTGGATAATAATATTCATTTGATTCTGGTCTTTCAATTTTCTCTAATTAGAGGCAATATATATTTGATTATGTTTTTTCTCACTATATTACAATTGCTCGAGTATATATACTGACTAATAAAAACTTGAGGGAGTGAATGAAACAGATTTGCAAGGTTCAGATTGAATATATATATATATATATATATATATATTTAATTGATTCTGCATTATCACTAGTGTTATAGTTAAATAATAGTAATTCAAATCCAATTTAAACAAATCCTTGCCAATCTGAATCTATCTTGGCGATTAACAGTGAGCCTAATCCAAAAAAAAAAAATCAAGCTTACTCAGCGAAAATGATGTAGAAATTACACTTCTCAGGTCATAAAATTAAATCATAATGGTATCGAGGAAAAAATAAACACCTAAATTGTTTCATTTGAACTATTCTAACTACAAAGTAAAAGAGGGGCTATTTTTTGTTTTTGGTTTCATATAAGCAGGGACGGACCCAGAATTAAATAATTCTAATGGGACAAAAGTAATATTTTGTAAGTATATATATATATCAAAATGACAAAATTGATATATGGTCCGTCCCTGCGTATAAACAAGAAGCAATGCTTTTGTTGGCATGTGGTTTATTCCGAAAAGAAAATGTTAGAATGTACCTATGTAATTTATATTTCAATCTAAGGAAATATTGGTCTTTGATCAGATACATTATTTTTGAAATTAACACAAACAAACAAATAATGTATCTATCACAGAGAGAGATGAGAGTCTGTTTGGGCCAAATAGGGATTGCAAAAGATAGAGATGGACAGAAGGTAGTTTGGTCATTTTATTGGAGGATTAAAATAAAACTTGAGGCATATTGAACATTTTATGTCAATTAAGGCGGTGTTTGACTCCTTTTTATAAAATGGGTGTCATTGTTCAAGTTTGTAAATCTAAAAGGTGTTATTGCTCAAAAATGACTTTAAGTTGTATCTACCTGTCTTTTAAGAAAACATAGGATGTCACTGTAATTTATCTTTTTTTTTTAAATGCAGAAAAGGCAAAGTCACACACACACACATATATATATTAATTGCAGAAAAGGCGAAGTCGCATTGAATTAATCAACAATGGAATTTGAGGTCAAAGAGGGTTCGAGAAGTTCTAGCATTCATTTCCTTCTAAATGTATAAAACAAACACTACATTTTTTTTTTTTTTTCCTCAAACACAAACACTACATCAAAATAGGGTTTTAGGTGTGAAAAATTCATCAAAATGAACAAATTCTTCTAGCATTCATTTCCTTCAAATGTAAAACTAAAAACTGAAATTTATTAATTTTGAATTCATAAATATTCCAAATAGTAGTTAAGCTGGGTCCTTAGGGACGTCCCATAAAATTGGAACCATACGGAGGAGAAATTAGCATGACTCATGTGCAAAGATATGCACAAATCGGACGTATTAAGAGATAAATTTTCTAATTTTATCGGACGTATAAAGTTAAAATTACATATATATATATATATATATTCTATGAAATTCGGATTCCGATTGTGTGCCCAAATTTAAAATTGGTCCTACAGTCGCAATTTGTAAAAAATTACATAAGAAATTGAGTAAAAGATATCAGGTGACCATTAAAGTTGGTTCCAAGATCAAATAAAAAGAGTTTAATAAGATATTACAAAGAAACATAAATAAAGGATTTTAAAAGTAAGTTGCAAAGGTTAAAAAAGAAAGAAAGAGGTGAAGGTGTCCAATGAGGGCTTGGAATTAGGAAATTTTTTTATATGATTCTACATGCAAGTAAAAATCTGAACGAGTTGTGATTGGTTGAGATTATGTACTCTTAAACCATGCGATGATTTCTTTGGAAAGAAATTTTTACATGATGAGTAAACCTGGTCATCACCTTATGCATCACCTGATATCTCTGCTCACAATTGCATGCTTATTGTAAACAGATTAATGATTCATATAAAAAGAGGGCTTTTGGACCCAAGTAAAGAATATTCCCTTTCCTCCTATTGTATAGAGACTATATAGGCTTTGCCTCCAAAACCACCCCAACACATTTCCAACAGGAAAAGTTTGGAATAACCTAAGTTTACAAGAAAAGCTAATGTGAATTTGAATCTATCTCTATCATTAATTTCCTCACCATAAAAATAATGTAAGTCTGCATGCATTCATCATCACGTACAAAGCTTCATTATCAATCAAGCAACTGCCATCGAAGAAAGAACTATCCGGCCGGTGCTCGTCAATGGCGAATAATAGGACAAACAAGAGCAGTTTCAGATTTGAAGAGTTCACACCTAGTGCTAGTTGGACGGAGGACTCGAATTGCCACTATCTGCTAGTTGATCTTCCTGGTATTGAAATTCTGTCTTTCATATATATTTAAATGCATATGATTCTTTTAATTTGCATTTGTAGAGGAATATATACATAGTTTTGAGGCCTTCATAACATTCCAAATAATTTGCTATTTCCCTTCCACTCATGTCTGAATGTTTTAAAAGTTTCAGATTAATATATATATATATATATATATATATATATATATATATATATATATATATATATATAGCTTATAGTAGCATGAATGTTGTGAGTTTGTTGGCTGAATTTTGTTTCACTTCGCGCCGTGGCCGGATTCAACTTGAAAGAGCCTTTTTGAGGCAAAATGATTCAACATTAAAGAGCGTTTTTGAGGCAAAATGATTCAACATTAAAGAGCCTTTTTGATTCATTTTGTCTTAGTGGGTCGTCAATTCCAAAATTTAACAGCATTTTAGGTATTTCATTTATTCTCAAAATCTCAAAATACTCCCAAAAAAAAATTTCAAAAATTTTGAAATTAATGTTTCTTAAATTTATTTTGTCCTAAACGCAGTTTAAATATTTGGTCATCATATTCAAAAATTGTCCACATTTGCTCAATTTGAAAATTGTAAGGTTTTTTTTTTTTTTTTGGCTAGGACTGTGGCTACAAATAGTTCGATCTACTTTACACAATTGTTTAAAAAAAATAAAAAATAAAAAAGTAGGTTTTTCCTTTCTTTTTTTTTTTTTCTTTTTTTTTCTTTTTTCGGTTGGATAATGAAATTACTGAATCATGTAAATTTTGTGTATAGTGTGCAGCATGTTTTATTTTTTTTCTTTTTGTGTTTTATTGGTTCTGTGGCGTTTGTTGTTATAACAAAGGTAAATAAGAAACATTACATGAAATTCTCTCATTTTTATCTTTAAGAATTCAAGATTGGCGAGGTGAAGCTTCAAATTGATAGCCATGGTCATGCGATGGTCAGTGGAGAAAGGCAAAAGTCGGAAAACATATATGTTCGCTTTGAGCAAACCTTTAGAGTGCCGGAAGATGCAGACCTTGAGAAAATGACTGGGAAATTTGAAGACGAGATTCTGTATGTGATTGTCCCAAAGCGAATAAAAGATGATGATGAAGAAGAAGAAGAGTCCGAGAATGGAATTGCCAACAGTGATGAGGAAGAAACCAGACATGAGGAAACAAACACAGATAAGGAAAATTTAGATCATGTTAATGAGAAACATCATAATACAGACCACAAACATCACAAGGAGGACGAGAATGAGAGAGAGGACCACGAAGAAGCTTTCTACGATAGCAGAAATAACTGGAGGGACGTCGAGGCCGGTCTGCTGCAAATTGTGATAGAGAAGTTAGGGAAGAACAAAGGGATGGTTGTACTGGTTGTGCTAGCATTTTCATTGGGGGTGATGGTGTCCAATAGGTTCCGATCAAATGGAAGCTTAGGGAACTCTTCAATCGGTGACCTTGTATAAGTAACTAGTCCTCGTGGGTTTGCTTCTATTTGTAAGATATTATCACATTGACATATTATCTGACTCTGTATAGAATAACAGAGAGACTGTGATAATTCAAACAATGAATGATAATTTGTAAACTATATAGTACTTCAAAAATGCAGTTGGAACATTTGGACAAAAAACTGTGCCCAACTTTTCAGAGTTTTTTTTTTGAAAGGTACTTTTCAGAGTTCTCTAACAAGTAATGTACCATTTAGTACTGTTGAGTTGCATTTGACTCAAATTAAGGGTCTTGTGTGGGTTTGCTGGTTTCTGCCTTGGGCGAGTTTCAACTTGGTTTGCAGTTGCCATTGTAACCAGATATGCAAGGCTGGTATAGTTTGTATTGCTTTGACTCCCCCAATAACCCACCATATATTATGTAATGATTGGTATGGGTTTGATACATTAAACATATATATATATATATATATATACAGTATTTGTGCATGTGTGAAAGATAAGATGTAAAGTGTATTTTAGTCGGGATATGAACTCTCTTTAATCCATTCAATGATTGTTTTTTGTTGCGAGTTAAATCTCTCATTCATTACATAAGCAAAAACTTCATCATCACATCAATTATACAAGCATATATAGAGATAACGTATTCATGCACAACACAACATTTTACATGGCTCGTGTAATCTAGCATTACGTCCATGGAAAGAAAGATTTCGATATGTATTAAGAAAGAGAATTACAACCACATATGTCAAAACCCTGAATTAGACTACATCCATACTCATGTCAAAATCTACTCACTCACTCATCAAGTCAGGCTACATACTAAGGAGTTGCATGTACTATTCCCTCTCTTTATAAAACTCACAACCCCTTACATCTTTAATCTTTCTCACCTTTTCAACCAACTCCATCTTTATTTACGGTCTTCAACTCATTCATTCTTGAACAAGGATTCTCCTATTTTGTCTAACAAGAAGTAACCACATCAATCACAACTCTATAATAACAACCTAATAAACTGAAACTTTTTTTCCAAATCTTCGGCCTTGCTCCTTGAGTCTTTGGGCTTCCAAAACCAAATAAAAATTTGTCTTTTACACAAATCAGCAAATTAAGAGTGACTCGTCCGTAATAATTCAACCGGTCGCACTTTTTAGAACTCCCCAAAGTGCAACCAGTCTGCAATAGTCCGACTGGTCCAACTTATTGAGAGCAACAATCTTAAAGAATCTGAGCCACAAACCAACAATTCTTACAAATTTATGGAACAAAAATAACATGGTTTAATAGATTAGATAATCGGATTATATACCCGCCCTTCACCTTGGACCCACTTGAAAGGAAGGAATGATACCAATTGGACTAAGCGCGGTTGACAGGTCGTTTTGCAAATATAAAATCTCTACAAAAAAATTTAGTGAAGATGATGTAATGAGAATGTCAATTCAACTAAACATTTTTCCAACTATTTTGGATCAAATACATTAATCTTATTTTTCATTCAAAGTGTCTTGTATGTTTGTGTAAGAAAACCTCAAGGACTTACCTCCCGAATCCCTACCAACGTTACTATGCCATTGGGACCTTGTTTTCATCTTCTTTGCATGCTCCAAATCTTGTGCTATATATATTTTCTTAATTTTTTTTCATCTTGTTTTTATCACTATGTTGTGGGCAATGAGATAACAACTTTCTAACTTTTCTTCATATGAGCGTACATATAGATCGAGAAGACCTCGCTAAGAACATCTTGGGGTTGTATTGTGAACTTGTATTTGGACCGTTTGCAACTCAACATAGGAAGGCCAATGTGACTTTAGAGCGATATGGTTACACATGCTTCATTATCTCACAGCAAGATTTTCTACATTGTTTATTGGGTAAAATGCGGTTACCTCCCTTATAGTTGGGGTTTATTATGCTTATCTTCCCTCTGTTTTGGATAGTTACAGTTACCTCCCTTCTAGTTACATGTGTCAATGTGTGTAACAAAACGACTCCTATTGTCACTTTTGCTAATAGTTAGAGATAGTCAACCTTGATGTAATAAGTATTTTTAGCTTCATATGATAAATATACCCTTCAAATATATAATTATTGGGTAAACACATTTGTTTAATACTTATGCAAAAAGAGAAATATAGACTTCATTAAAGAAATTTATATTAACGAAAATGCCGTGAGTTGAAGATATAATTGTTTTTTTCGCACAAGCAGCATTGGACAAAAGAGTCTTCACTATATTTGTCATATGAAGTTAAAAAGTTTGTCACATCAGTATTGACCATCTTTGACTGTTAGTGAAATTGACAACAGTGGTCGATTTGTTACACCCACGTAACTAAAAGAGAGGTAATTGTAATTATCCAAAACTCAAGGGAGGTAAGTGTAATAAACCCTAACTATAAGGGAGGTAAGTGTACTTTATGCATATTTATTTTATGTAATTTTTAATTGTAATTTCAACTCTTTTATTTCTATTTTGTAATTAATTGTAAATTTGTATTTGATGTTATAATTGTAAATTCCCAATGTGTTGAACAATCATAATATTTGAATATGTATTGTTTTGTACAATTTTAAAGTATACTATATAAATATAGAACAAGTTTTTCCCATAACAGTAGTGACAAATATATAGTTGAGTCTTGGAATCAGATCGAAGAACCTAAAGAAGAGAAGAGAATAAAGTAGGAAAGATATTCTTTGTTCGGATTCTTTTGCAGTCAGAATAATATAATCCTTTTTGTGGAATTTTAAATAACTTTTGGAGAATATAGGCTTTGCCTCCAAAACCCAACACACTTCCCACAGGAAAAGTTTGGAATAAGTATGCTGCTAATCTAAGTTTTACAAGAAAAGCTATTTGAATTTGGACCATCTCATTAATTTTCTCACCATATACTAATATAAGTCTGCATATATATATTCATCATCACAAAGCTTCATTATAATTAAACAACTATATAGACAAAGAACTATCCGGTATTCCATAGCTCATCAATGGCGGCCAAGGACAGATTCATATTTGAAGAGTTCACACCTCTTGCTGGTTGGACCCAGGACTTGAATTGCCACTATCTACTAGTTCATCTTCCTGGTATTGAAATTATCTCTTTCATATTTATTTGCATATATATGACCTTTTTATTTTTTATTTTTATTTTTAGGGTTTATAGAGGAATACTAAGTTTTGAGGCCTTTATAACATTAAAAATAACCTGCTATTTCTCTTCCGCTAATGTCTGTTAATTGTTTAAAAAGGTTCTATATATATATAATAGCATGAATAATGTTGTGAGGTTGTGGTCTGATTTTTGTTTCAACTCAGGTCGCAACAAGTTTCGAAATCAAAAAATGAGCTTTGATTTTGACTTATTTTGTCTCGTGGGTTGCAGACATGGGTTCCGGTCTTTATTACAATTAGTGGCAGAGCCAGAAATTACAAATAATTCTAAAAATATATAAATCAATTGGAATATATATTTTTAAATAATATTAGTCTTAGTATGTATATATTGGGAAAGTATAATTCAAACAATAAGAAAAAAGCAACTTAAATAAATAGAAATGGAAATTTGAACAAAAAGAAAAAAGACATGGAGAAGAGAAAGTAATAAGTTAAATGTAAAAAGAGAAGTGGTAAAGAAAAAAAAAAACATTGTTAAATTATTAATTTTTCTTCAGCAATTGTTTCAATTTGAGTGAATTTTTTTTTGTTTTTTTAAATGAACCATTTTAAATAAACAAAATATCGCAAGTTATAGAATTTGTTATTTAACAGGTGAGAAATGTTGTTGTTGGCATTTTATAGAATAAAAAATATTAATATATATGATATCATTGTTACTGGCATTTTGTCATTTTTCTCCTTTCCAAGTACTCATGCTGATAGACAGTAACAAATATTTCTAGATATTTTTCTTGTAAATACCATCTAACAAAATTTTTGACGAGAAAAATCATGAATTTTTATTAAACATAATAATGTAACTTGAACTCATATAATGCAAATTATTTTACAATAAGAACTGTTAATAATTTGGACTTCAAAATTTGAAAAAGTTCAAAGGGAATTATTTTTATGAGACCTTTCAAGGGAACAAAAGGTAATATTATTTCCACTTTCATTAGTTTGGGGCAATTAATAATAAGATTTTGAAAAAGATACGTGGGGCCAACTGAAATTAATCCCCCAGCCGCCACCTACCATATATTTTCACAATTTTTTGAAAAAAACATTGGGAGTATGAGAGAATACATAGGTATCCTCCTCTCACAATTTTTTGAATCTGTCTTGTACAAAAATATTTGACAAATTGTAATTTTACTGGAAACAGTACCCTGTGCAGCAATCTAATGCAAAAACGGGTTAAATATTCCAACGCGACTTTTGGACGACCCATAATTGAATCAGGTTTAAACATAAGTTAGACAGAATAATAACTTACTGTTCATTATATAATATTATAATATTTATACTATATAGACCTTAAAGCATTAACAATATTTAACAGACATGTTAAAACCATCTTCCTCCTCTTCTGGAGTACAGGAAAATCAGGATTCAGAATTGGTAAAAAATACTGAATTAGTGGAATGGACCAATGTTCAAAATAAATTGAACAGATGGACTATCCCTCCAGTAAGTGCTAAGAGCATTTACAAAATCGGAATGCTTAATTTAACTGATCTATGGACTGTCAAGACCATGGAACAGACCATGCAATTAAGCACAAAAGATACAATAATTAAGTTATTGTCTTTCCGTGACCTTCAGAGGCACATGCACAAATATAAGTACATCCATATAGGTTTAATTCAAATTGCTTTTAAACCTTTAACCTTGTTAGGTATGGATGCTTGTATTCAAACAACCCTTCGGGATGCTAGATGTCTGAAATTTCACCATTCCTTGATGGGTGCACTGGAAACCAGTCTATGTCATGGACCGGTTTATTTCAATGTCTATCCTAGTCTGAATTTATCTTTAACAGATAAAAATATCCATGAGGCAGTTAGTCTTCGGGTTCAGACCTATGGGTATGATTACTTACCTGGATCGGAAGTGATAAGTGTTATTTATCGCATCCATTACAAAGTACTTGATACTATGTGTCCAAATGCGATACGCAAAGACTCTAAAGGAGTAACAGCGTTATGGGACACTAATATGTACACCTCCAATGTTGCCACAAAGAGGATAATTCCTTGGAGTGAAATAACATTTCCTGAACATTGGACGATTTCTAACGCCGTCCCGGCACAGCCAATTGCTAATCATAGCTTAGACTGTGTTATTCAGGACCAAGATGGTGATGTTTTTCTGAATTTCAGAAAATCATTAGATCTACCTCGATCTACATCATCTAAAGGAAGTCATCTTCTTTATCATGTTTCTTGTCCTCCTTCTCGCCATTCGATTTCGTCGGATTACAAAAAGGAAGATCTTCCTGAAGTCGTTGGTCCAAATCAACTAACGCTGAAAGGAATACAGCAATCTCAGAATCAAATTCCAAGAGGAGTCTACGAGAAAGCACCAATAGGTATGTCTCGTCGCCAATTTGGAATTGAATTCAGCCCAACTCCATCTGAAATGGGAATCGGAAATGAATCTGTCAAGGATCAATTTGATGATCCTGTAGACATAAATGACCCTCATGAATATTAGTTTTAATGGATTTTGTCCCAGATAGAATTGCCATTAATACTGAATTTCAACAGGATCAATATAAAGAATTCAGAAATTGGTATTTTAAAGCTTTTGATCAAAATCAACTACAGCTTTTTAAAAATCAATTTTATGACTTTCTCCAAGAACGCAAAATGGTTATACCTTTTGTTTCTTGGTTTTATATGACCAATCATTCCATTGTTAATATAAACATATTGGATGATTTTTTCAAACCATGGACCACAACTGAAGATAAGGTTTATCACTCTGTCCATCCTCCCACTGAACATCTAATTCTGAAAAGGATAGACCCTGACAGTGGTATCAAAGTGGAAACCAAGGCTTATAGCCAACCTAAAATAATTGATCCATCCTGTAATGCTACTAAGAAAGAAATTTCTCATGTTTACAGGCAGAACAATTATACTAATGTTTGCTTGCAAACGATAGGGTCCCAGCTTGGGAGAATTGAAACAGAAATCGGCACGGTGTTAAATACAATTAATACTAAGTGTATTACTGTTAAACCTTCTCCTCCAGAAGCTTCCTTATCCAAAGCATTGGTGAAACCTGCAATTGAAGTTCAAGGCTTCAATCTTACACATCCTAAGAAGAATGAAGAATTTCTTACTCTTCTTACTCAGAAAATTCAAGGACTTAAAATTCAGACTTTATCCCATAATGAATCTGAAATAGGTTCTGATTCTGATAATGTGTTTCCTCATATTGAGGTTTTCCAAACCGATTTTCCTCAGATGCCTGAGTTAAATAGGATTGTCTATGATAAGAATATCCACTCCAATACAGCTCTTGCTCCGAGTAGATATTATTATCCTAGACCCACACCTCAAGATATCTTGTATGAAGAAGATTATTTTCATACACAGAAATCTTTTCATGGCAAGACCATTTATGAATGGAACATAGATGGCAAATCTGATTATCAGATTTACGAGGTTATTCATCAAATGTTGATGTATAGTCAAGTTTGTAAAATCAACAACAACACTGACCCAACCATTGCTAAGTTTGTCGTTGCTGGTTTTACAGGAATCCTTAAAGGATGGTGGGATAATGTTCTCACTGAAGTTCAGAAAGCTGAAATCTTTTCTGCTACCAAGCTTGTTAAAGATGAAGCTACTCAACAAGCAGGACCTGCTCCTGATGTGGTTTACACCCTCATCACCACTATTATCCAACATTTTGTTGGCCCTGAAGGTGCTAATAGTGAACGGAGTCGTGAGCTTCTACAGAATCTAAGATGTCCATCTTTAACTCATTTTCGGTGGTATAAAGATGTCTTCTTGGCAAAGGTTCTCCAACTCAATGATGCAAATCATGAGCATTGGAAAGCAAAATTTGTGGATGGTTTACCAACCTTTTTTGCTGAAAGAATCAGGAAAAAACTTAGAGATATGAATAATGGTATCTCTATCCCTTACAGAAACTATACCTATGGTGGATTAGTCAACATTGTAATCCAGGAAGGTCTAGCTCTCTGTAATGATCTGAAGTTACAATCCCAGTTAAAAGCACAAAGATTAACCGGTAGAAAGGAAGTAGGTGAATTTTGTGATCAATTTGCCTACCAAACTCCTTTATCTTATCCTAAACCTAGGAAAAGAAATAAGGTTGAAAAACCTTATAAAATGAAGTATTCCAAAAGAAAGAATTATTCAAAGGAAAAGGATAATTCTAGACAGTATACTAAGCCTAAAAGGAAATATATTCCTAAAGCAAAGGGTAAAGGAAAGCCCAAAGCTGAGGCTAAATGTTTCAAATGTGGACGTATCGGCCACTATGCAAACAAATGCAGAACTAAGGAGAAACTCAGTAGTCTTCACATCGAAGATGAACTAAGACTTCAATTAAGTAAATTATTACTTAATACCAGTTCTTCTGAATCTGAATCATCAGATGATTATGGGGATGTTGTTATGGAATTACATTCTTCTTCTTCCTCTGAAGCAGAAATTGGAAATCCTAGATGTTCTTGTAATCCCTCTCATGATGATTATTATAAGGCCATTGTTGAGATGAATGGGTTAAGCTTAAATGTTTTGACTTCGACTCAACAATCCTTATTGGATCTTATAGATCATATCCAGGATCCTCAAATCAAGATGAAAGTCTTTGAAATAGGTTCTGCTCTGGCACGATCTAATGAGGATTCGGATAATCCAGATTTTCTGAGAGCAGAAAATCATTACAGCATGAAAGAAGTTCTAAGCAGATTAGAACACCAAGGACAAAGTTCACGTCCTGCTAATCTCCTTGATCTCAGAATGGAGATTAATCTTTTAAAAGAAGAAATTCGTCAATTAAAGTCTCGTCAGACTAAGATGGATTTGGAAATTACTCTTTTAAAAGCAAAATCTGCAATTACACCTTCATCATCCCAGGAAAAAGTCCCTCAATCAGAAGGTACTAATTATCTTCAACTCTTGAATCAAGTTACTTACCAAAAATGGTATATATCTATCAATTTGGTAATTAATCAGGAGTACACAATCACTAATGCAATTGCTTTAGTTGATAGTGGTGCAGACATGAACTGCATACAGGAAGGATTGGTTCCTACTCAATATTTTGAGAAAACCACTCAAGGTCTTACCAGTGCAAGTGGAGGTAAGATGCAGATTAAGTATAAACTTAATCATGTTTTCATTTGTAAAGAAGGTATTTGTCTACCATCTACTTTCTTACTCATCAGAAATATGGCACAACAAGTTATTTTGGGTACTCCCTTTTTAGCTTTAATCATGCCAATTGAGAAAATTGATTCTCATGGAATATGCTCTAATTTACATGGCCAGTCAATTACTTTCCAGTTCTTGACCCCACCAGTAAATAAGCATATCAATGCTCTTAAAGATAACATTATCTTTAAGGAAAAGCAACTGAATTATTTGCAAAAGGAGGTATCCTCCTTAGTAATTAATCAAAGATTGGTACAACCCACTGAGCAACAGAAAATTGAGTCACTACGACAAAATTTTCTAAAGGAAATATGTAGTGACATTCCTAATGCTTTTTGGGCCAGAAAGAAGCATATTGTTTCTTTACCCTATGAAAAGGGATTTACCGATCGCATGATTCCTTCTAAAGCTAGTCCCAGCCACATGAAAGCTGACTACTTGGAATTATGTAAAACTGAAATCAGTTCTTTAATGGCAAAGAAGCTTGTCACTACTAGCTACTCCCCCTGGAGTTGCAGAGCTTTTTATGTCAATAAAAATGCTGAAAAAGAACGAGGAATTCCTCGATTGGTTATTGATTATCGGCCACTCAATCTTGCTTTGAGTTGGATCCGATACCCAATTCCCAACATCAAAGATCTTTTAGATAGGTTACAATCTGCTGTAATCTTTTCTAAATTTGATCTTAAATCTGGATATTACCAGGTACAGATTGCAGAAGAGGACAGGTACAAAACAGCTTTTTGCGTACCTTTTGGACAGTATGAATGGACAGTGATGCCATTTGGATTAAAAAATGCCCCTTCAGAATTTCAACATATTTTGAATGACATATTTAATCCTTTTACTGAATTTTCTATAGTTTATATTGATGATATTCTCATATTTTCCAAATCAATCGATCAGCATTATAAACACTTGAAAATTTTCAAACATGTTATTTACCGAAGTGGTTTAGTAGTTTCTGCTCCTAAACTAAAACTGTTTTTAACTAAGGTCAGATTTCTTGGTCATGAAATTTGTGATGGGAAAATTAGACCTATTAATCGCAGTATTGAGTTTGCTTCTAAATTTCCAGATGAAATTAAGGATAAAACTCAACTTCAAAGGTTTCTGGGTAGTTTGAATTATATTCGAAATCACTACAGAGATCTTGCACAGGATACAGCAATTTTGTACACCAGGTTAAGGAAATCTCCTTCCCCATGGACTTTGGAACACACCAAGGCAGTCCAGAAGATTAAACTCAGAGCAAAACAAATTCCTTATTTAGCCCTAGCTAATTCTTCATGGTTCAAAATTGTGGAAACAGATGCATCCAATATTGGATATGGTGGTATTCTTAAACAAAAGAATCCAAATACAGGAACAGAGGAGCTTGTTCGCTTCACTTCAGGAACTTGGAAAAATGCACAATTAAATTATTCAACCATCAAAAAGGAAATTCTTTCTTTGGTTAAATGCATTTATAAATTCCAAGATGGTTTAATCGATCCTAACATATATATATATATATATATATATATATATATATATATATATATTTTACATAATCAAAAGACTGTAAATCTTTGTATTTTGTGCGATACATAACTTATTTTATTTTATATTTGACCGTTTCTTGATTGTATTCTTGGTTTCCTGGCTTTTTTCATGGCAAATGTAATTAAGAATCATTACATGAAACTCACTATTGTTACCTTTAAGATTTCATGGAGGACGAGGTGAAGCTTAAACACGTGAGCCGTGGTCATTTTATGGTCAGTGGAGAGAGGCAAAAGTCCGAAAACAGATTTATTCACTTTGAGCAGACATTTGCATTGCCGGAAAATGCAGACTTTGAGCAAAACTCTTGGGTCTTTGACAAAGAGATTCTGCTTGTGACTATCCCGAAGGCGATAAAAGATGGTGAAGTAGAAGCAGAATACTGGAATTTTAACGAAGAAATCGAACATGAGGCTGGTCTGCTGCAAAGTGTGATAGAGAAGTTGAGGAAGAAGAACAAAGGGATGGTTATAATGACTCTGATAGCATTTTCATTAGCGGTGTTGGTGGCCAATAAGTTCCGATCAAACGGAAACTGAGAGAGCTCTTCAACCAGCTGTGACATTATATAGGTCACTCAAGTCTCGTGGGTTTGGTTCAATTTGTAACAAATAATCACAAATGTGTTTGCTTGTATTTGTAATATATGGAATATGCATGCACAAGAGTATTTTTGTGCACAGAAACAGTACTTACATGCACAAAAAGTGATACATGAAAGTAGTAAGAATAATTTGGACAAATGAATAGTAACAACAAACACCAATTTAACATGAAACTCCAGATTTTTTTATATAGATATCTGACGAAGCAAAACCATCTCTATCAAGATGGTAGACTCATTCTCTGTGCTATCGATAGGATCAATGATAACAAGTCACGCCTCATATTCCGAAATTTCTATGGATTTTTTATTTTTTATTTTTTTTAAACTAGTGTAATTTATGGGTTAATCGATCGTTTATTTTTTTAATGATTTGCCAAATAGTTTTTGGTGATTCTGTTCACCGTTTTTTGGCTCACACGGTCGAGGGAGTTTGTGGGCGTGCCAAAGTCTCAAAAAATGATTTGAACACCAACTATCTCTTTTTGGTGCCTGAATTCAAGAATTATGCAAGAGAGAGAATATGAAGAACTCTCGGCTAAATTTTTTTTCTGTCTTGAATGCAAGGACTTTTTATAGTATTTAAAAGAAAAGAAATGCAATAAATAAATAAATTTAAATTAAGCGGCTGAATTATAAATGGAATTTAAGGAAGTGGCTGAATTGAAATTACGTGAAAAATAAAGAGTGTAATGGAATAAGCTGGCTGAATATAGATGACTGGAATCTAATTAAAGATTGTCATTGAATTCAATTGGATAAAATAAGTATTTTGAATAGAATCAACATATATAATTAAACATTGCAAGAAAAAAGTAAGTTGCTGGAACTTAGATTACTTCAATGGAAATTGCCATTTGGACAAGGGAATTGAAATTTGATAGGTGAAATAGAGTCAATTGAATTTGATATTTATGTACCTTTTGTGGGTGGTGCTAGACCCTAATAAAAAGAAAGCCATTGAGACTATTGATTGATGTATTAATCACTGGGATAAAATTGATGTTGAGCCATTTTGTTTGATTGGCATGGACCATTTGAATAGAATACAACTCTTCTATTTATAGAATTTTCAATCAACTTCTTTTCCTAGTTATTAGAATCTTCTCTTCCTCGATTTTCTCAAACTAAGTTAAAATTGGAACTTCCTTATCATAACTCAACTTTCCTTGTTTGTAAGCTTTAGTTAATTGACCTATTGCCAAATTCCAATTTCCTTATGTGTTAGTTAACCCATCTTGACTAAGTCAACAAATTTAGTAACCTCTTGGTAAACTTGGTAGCCAATCACTTCTTCTCCTAAAATTCTATGTGTCACTTTCTAATTTGATCTAATATTTTCATATGGCGAATCCTCATGGTGACATGTCGAAAATATTTGTTATCTATTCATTGGTCTACGTCATCGCCAGGATGGCTGCTAAGTTTTGGTGCCAACAAATTCTAAACTCGTCACTTTAATTGGTATTTTTTCAAGAAAAGCAGTCATGAGATAACAAATCCAATGTTCTATTATGATTTCAAATGGTGCTCTCGGATTCAAGTTGATTACATTTTGCCATGTCAGCATTTTGGTCAATTTCAATTTTTTAAAATATCGTGACTTTTACTTCATCAAATAGTAAATATAAGTCCACAACACCATGTATTTGGAATAATCCAATGTAATATAAGTATCATGAACTAGATGAAGTTGTCGTTATTATTATTATTATTCTATTAACTATGTTGATATCGAACCTCTTAGAGTACCTCATAATCAACCATCGGCACTTGCAGACCTCCATTTCACATGACAATTACCGATAAAAATGTCTGGGAGTGGCCCCAAAGGGATTCAAATAAATGAATTGCAACCAAAAAAAAAAAAAAAAAAAAAAAAAAAAATTAATCTTACCAAACGACCTGTATATTTTCTAAAATATTCACAAGAGTTTTGGGTTTCTAAATCATATGTGCAAACTAATAAGGAGTGTTGGAATTAATTTCCACTTCTTAGTTCATAGGTGGTGAAATTTGTGGCTCAGCATGAAATTGGTAATTGATGGTAAAAATAAAAGTAAAATGCACAACCAGCGGATGGTAAGTCCTTGGGTTGAGAATAGACCAATAGACCGTGAGTGGGCATTCAGATTCCTCGCTAAAACAACTATTGTCCTGGCCATCAGTTATGTGATATGTTTTTATCCATCATTTCAAAGAATCAAGACTAGCCCTCAATTCCTATTTAAACCATTCTTTGGCTGGATTTCTAATACCTACTACAAGAGCTAGCCCAAACAATTGAGATTGCCTGTCTGTAAAATTCCATTTCAATCTCCTTCTTGCTTTTGTTACGGTTAATTAAATTTCACTATCACTTTTATAATTACGATCAAATTCCTCTCCGGTCACGTTTTCTCACGATTCTACATAGTTGGTGCATTAATTTCACCACTATCAATGATGAATTTCGCTAGTATAACGGTGAAATTAGTTGGTGCATTTTACGACTATCAACACCATTATAGTAGCGAAATTCACCATTGATAGATTTCACCATTATAGTAGCGAAATTTATCACTGATGGTAGTGAAGAACCGCGAAAAATCGTTACCAGAGAGGATAGCAATATGTGTGTATATATATATATATATATATATATATATCTAAGGATAAGTGGAATTAAAGAAATAATATCTACATAAGTTTTAGAATGGGTACGAGCAAGCCAATTCAATGGAGTAAGCATAAGATCAGTTTGGCATAACATATCCTTGCATTAATTTCATCATATGCACATTGCCCTTGATATTTTGTATATTAGTTAACTTTCCTAAGTGCTCACTGTTTTAGGGTTTCTACAAATCTTGCGTTTGTAGGAAAACTTTAGGTATGGGATCACAGCAAGCAGATTTGGAAAAAAAAGTCAGTGCAACCAAAGTTGACAAGGAAGAGAAACCTGAAAAGAAAGAGAAACATGGGGATGTGGAAGAGAAAGAACAGAAAGGGGATGATGAGAAGACAAAGGACAAGAAGGAAAAAGACAAGAGTGGTAAAGATAAGGAGGATGGTGGAAAGGAGAAGAAGAAGAAGAATCCTGAAGATAAGAAGGATCCAACTAAACTGAAGCAAAAGCTTGCAAAGATTGATGACAAAATGAAAGCACTAGCAATCAAGAGAGAGGATGTTTTGAAACTGATTAATGAACTTGAAAAAGGTGCCACCAACGCAAATGGAGGAGCCTCTGCACCAGCCAAGGCTTGAGGCTCAAAATATTATCAATTTTCGTTACTTTTTCATGTATATAATAAAGTGTAATTTGATTTGATGGAGGTAAGAAACCATCCATCTCTTTCATTACTTTCAATGTGTATATATGTATACAAATTTTATAATCAATTGATTTGAGTAAGAATCAAGGGAGCAAAAAATCCCTCCTGGACTTTCACCCGTTTGCAAAAAAATTTTTTATGAATATTTTTAACAATTAACTCCCCTCAATTATTATGAGGGGGTCATTTTAATTAACATCTGTTAGAGTAATTGTGTGAGGAAAATTTTCGGATAAAATTACCCTTAAAATGAAACATCGGTTTGAGTGATTGTGTGATAAAATTTTTGGACGAAATTACCTCAAAATCCATACAATACATTAGTATTACTAAAGTACCCATCACTCACAATTTTTTTTTTTAACTGCATAAAACACTAAAATGAGGCCTTTGATTTTAAAACGAGACCTTTGATTTTTTTTCTTTCGAAATGTTCTTGCATTTGGAATATATATAGTAATATGGTAGTTATTTATCAAATGTCAATTTAAATTGATTTTGCTGAAAAAAAAAAAAACTTGTACCATGATTTTTTATAAAATTTAAAAGTAGAAATTTATCAAACTATGTGACAAAATTATCTCATAATTCGGATGAAGTGTCTTTTTTCATTTATATAGATATGTGTGTGTGTGTGTAGCATATCACAATTTAATAGAAAAGTATTGGGATTAAGATTTATGATGTTGAAATAAATCAAATTTTATGTTATAATAAACGCTTTTTCTGCACAATAAATAAATAAATAATTGAAGATAGTCCAAACAAATATTTGTTATTTAAGTGAAATATCTTTTGACTATAAAAAATAAAAAGTAAAAAAACAAGTGTGAATTTTTTTTTTTTTTGGGGGGGGGGGGAGATTTCATTCAAGGTTAATATAGATGTTTTGATGATAACAAACCATTAATGGTATTTAAGGACTAATATTTACATTGAGTGTTATAGATTATTCACACTCAAATAATAACCTCAATGAAGCTATAAAGATCATTCCAAGTATTCCATTATTCAAGATCACATTAAGGAAAGTAATGGATACAAAGAAGACTTGAAGTTACAAGAACAAAATGTAGAGTCTATCCAAAGATAGCTTGGACATCAATAATCAAAAAAGCAACTTAAAGAAAGAAATAAAGTAAGGAAGCAAGAATACCTCAAAACCTACACGATCATGGACAAAGTATGAAGAAAAGGGTATATAGGATGGTGAGCGTTTATGATTCAATATCAAAGTATTTATGAATCCATTTGAAACTCATCTCTATAGGACCATGCATATCATATCATCATTTATATGTTCCTATATCCATTAGCAATAGACTATGTACTTCATTTATATATAATTAACACATGAAGCCATTGCTAAAGAATGAGTTAGTTCAAGCTTGCTTAAGCTTTGAAAGAACTCATCACTTGTGCTAGAAATGTTAAGACCATGCATATCAATTATATGATTCATATTGGTCAACTATTAAGGCACGAGAAGCTTTCATTACCATGAGTTGGCAAAGGACATTAGGACCCTGAATGCGCGTCATGAAAAACTGTATTTTTGGCTAAGTATGAAAAATGGCTAAGTGTGAAAAATGGATTTTTTGACATAATGATTATTTCAAAATAATTTTTCCTGGTAATAACTCATTATACTTCAAATAGCCTAAACTGATTTTAAGGGATTTTTTCATCCATTCTACATTGGTCTACAAGAGGATTCATTTTTACCAAAACTGTCGAAAATCCAAATTTGTACTAAAACTGAATTTCTACATTTTGATTTAGTTGGATTTTAATTTTCTTATATTTTTTATTGAATTCAAATAGGGGGTACTTCCTTATTTACATTGTAAACTTAAAGTAAATAGACATATAAATACTGTAAACTGTCTAGTTAAACTGTTTGAAACACTGTCATCAAAATTTGATGTCCATGTATCCGGTTAGGAAAATTCCTCTAACGGAGTAGATGAATAGGACAAAAACCATGTTCTGAAAATGACATCCTATAACCGATTAGGATATCTGTTCTAACCGAGTAGTTCAATGGACAGAATGAACCATTCAAGTATGACTACTCATAACCAGTTAGGAAAGTCTTTGTAACTGATTACTTACACTAAAGCAGAAAAGATCATTTTTCACATTGCAATTGTTGTAACCGGTTATAAACCCTTTTGTAATCGAGTAGTTGCTCTAAAACTGAAAATGCACTCATGGTTGATGTAACCGGTTAGAAAGGACTTTATAACCGGTTAGATAAGATCTGAATCTCATATAATCGAGTACTTTAAGTCTTGTAACCGGTTAAATGTATGGGTAGAAGCTTCCCAACGGCTATTTTGATCATTTGACCTCATGGGAACTTACCATAATGCCCCCAAACGGCTATATTCTTCCAAGGGCCTATAAATACACAATACAAGGATATTGTGGGTATGTAAGGGAGCCAACACTTGAGAGACCTCATTAGGCATCAAAGAGAGCTTTTGTTCTCACATTTTCTCTTCATATCTCTCATTCATTGATATACTATACTTGAGAGATTCAACTAAGGATTCAAAGAGTTTTTGCTTTATTCTATACTTGAGAGATCCTATTGAGTTTATAAGAGTTTTTATTCTTCACTTATATCATCCTCTCTCATTCATATAATTCATAGGGTTTGAGCTTCACTTATATTCATCAATACTCTAGTTGTGAGCTAAAATTTGTACATCTATCTTTGAGAGATTTCTTGTACTTCATTGTTCTTGTTACTATCTATTGTAAGGGTTGGTTTGACCAACCGGGTTGGTGTGACCCAAAGGAAGACTAAGGGAAGGTTGTTCTCTTAACAAGGTAAAGTAAGGAGTTGCTTCATGTAAATATTTGCTCTCCATCCGTAAGGAGAAACCATAGTGCATTGGGAAGTCTCAAGAGGAGTCTTGAGCTGAGGAATAGGAGTTTCTGAACCTCGCTAAAATTGCCGAGTCATTGTTTGCAATTTCTCTACCCTTATCTCTTTTATAATTGTACTATTAATTGTTTACTTTCATATCTTGAATATTACATAATTACTTAAGTGGTTGATTAGAAATTGTAAATCTATAAATTGCGAAAATTGGCCACTGACTCTATTCACCATTTCTAGAGTCAATCATTGGGCAATAATTGGTATCAGAGTCTAAACTCTATTAAAGGACTTAACCGTCTTAGAGTACGATCATGGCTAACAATGGTAGTATCACACACTTAGAAGGACAACCCATTGATAAACCTCCTTATTTTGATGGAAATGATTATATCTATTGAAAAAAATAGAATGAGGGCCTTTCTAAAAAGTATTGATATTGATTTATAGAAAGTTATAGAAAATGGTGGTCATATCCCAACCAAAATTATTGAAGGGAACAAAATTCCTAAATCAAAAGAGGAGTGGGATGAAAATGACCGTAGATTAATTAAATATAATGCTTTAGCCATATGTTATCTTTATTGTGCATTAAGCAAAAATGAATTCAATAAAATTATCTTTTGTAAAACGGCTAAAGAAATTTGGGACTTGCTTGAATTAGCCTATGTTGGATCAAGTCATGATAAGGATTCAATTATAAATGAACCCTCTAGCATAAATGAGATGCATTTTAGTTTTACTAACGTTACTAATCATTTGAATGTTATTGATAGAACTAACTCATCCACCTATAGTGAAGAAACTAACGAAATGCTAAAGAAGAGTATAACTCTCTAAGCTTCTAACAAAGAAGTAAGTAACATCAAAGAGGTGGTTAATCTTTATCTCATGGCCAATGAAGATGAGGTAAATTCTAATCATGAATCTTTTGATTTAAAATTTTTCTATAATGAATTAGTTGATGAGCATAATGAATTATTTGATGCAATTAAAGAAAATATGCTTGTGAAATGCGCTTTCTTTAAAAAGGAAAACCATGATCTCCTTTAAAGACATGAAAAAGTACAAATGGAAAATGACTCTTTGAAAAAGGAAAATCATTATCTTATGTAAAAATTCGAAAAGATTCAAATTGAAAATAAGTCATTGAAAAATGAAATGAAATGTATATTCTCTAAAGAGTTTTCATCAATTGATTTTATTTCTGAAAATAAGTCTTTAAAGAAAATCATTGATGATCAAAATGACATTTTAGCAAAATTTACCAAAGAAAAGGAGAATTTGAGTATTATGCTTGGTAAACAAAGAAAAATCTTTTTCAAAAATGGGATAGGATATGATTCTTACAATAAAGATGCATATTTATTGAAAAAGAGAAAGTTCTTAAATCATTCATTTGACAATAGTTCTTTTAAATATCCTAAATGCAATTATTGTAAAAAGTTAGGACACATAATTCAAAATTGTCCATTTAGAAAGAGGATAAGGACTAAGAGAATTTGGGTTCCAAAAAGAACTTATGAACTATTATCTAACTCCCATGGACCTAAGAAAATTTGGGTACCAAAAGAAGATTTTCTAAGTTTTCCTTGTAGGATTGCTTGATGGCATCCTATTTATTCAAGGATTATGAAGGAAACATCACACCTTGAAAAACTCCAAGGGCAAGGTAATCAGGAAATGCTAAAGGATATTTTCATGCTCAAAATTGCTTGACTATATACTTCCGTGATATGTTGAAATCATCTATGAGTATCAAAAATGAAAATATATTCTCATGCCAATGATCATTATATATAAAGAATCCTTAAAATGAGAATTATACTAAACCATTGAAGATGATATACATTGTAGATTTTTTATCTTCTTGGTACAATTACTCATTGTTTATGCAATTTGTTTAAATACATGCCTTCATTGATTGTAAAATAATTCTTCATGTATTACATTACTTGAAATTGCATTTGAAGATTTTCACTTGAATTAGAAGAAAATCACTTTAAAAAGTGTAAGTCTTGAGAAGGAACTTACTTTCCAATGAGTTAATATTCTTTGAAAATGAAATTTATTTTTGGAAAGAAAAGCTCTTCCTTAATTGTAGAATCCTTCAAGGATTTCAAAAATGGGGCACTTAATTCATTTTTGCCCACTTAAGAAAAATCTTATTTTTCGTATCAATTCTTGAATTTGATCATGGATAATGCACATGG